GCGTTTCAAATTAGGTTACTTATACATAAACACTTAATGTTATGGTAGCATTTTGTATTAAGAATAATTTTCAGTATGGCATTGTGAATGCAAAATTAATCAAAATATAATAATTAGAACAAAATTCTCATCTTTATCGAAAGTTCAATATTTCTTTCGGCTGTTTGGGTGGATGCCTGAACATTGATGAGAATACGAATACTGTAGTAGCGAAAAGTAACAAGTGCTTGAAAGATTCGTCAGTCCTCTTAGGTCCTGGGTAGCTCAGTGGTTAGAGCAGTCGCCCGGACTGAAAGGTCGTGGGTTCGATTCTTATCTCAGGGTGCCAGGGACTAAGTAGATTTTTTAATCATTTTGTATTAAGATTAAAAATAGCTGTTTTAATCATACAAAGTCAAATTACAAACATAAAACTGAGTATTCTGTCTGAAGTTTACATGCAAAAGAAAATAAAGTGTATACAATATTCTTAATTTGAATGATTAAATCTGTATCTTTTATAACATTAAAATAATAAAATATTGATCAAGTTATTGAAGTTTTATTTATTTTAACAATAATTTTATTTCATTGATAGAGAATTACATTTTTTCTTCACTTTTTACTTGTGAAATAGAGCATCTTTTACAACACATATTTATTGAACACTGACATTACAATACAAAAATGATCATTATTAATTAGTTAATAAATGTTTTGTAATACATTGCTCAGATTCCAAAATAAGTAGCTTAAGCCCCATATTATGGAGTATCTGAGACAACTGTGGTATGACAAAACCTAGGCCCAAGATAATATATAAAAGTGTAGGTATAATATATAAAAGGGTAGGTAGGCCAGGGAAGGGTCAATGTAGAAAATAAATTTCTACAATCTACCTACCTGCAATCGAACCTCGGGCTTCAGGAATGGCGACACCTTGAAACCGGCGTGCGAATCAGTCGGCTACGAAGGAAGAGGAATTAGGTAAATAATATAGTAGAGATGAGCCGAATATTCGTTTGGTATTCTGTGTATTCACCATCTCTTTCTCTGTTTGTATTCTACCGAATTATTCAGTTGTGATGCCGAATATATTCGAGTACTTCTATTTTCGTGACTACAAGACTCAGTTTAGAACTAAAATACAAGACTAGTTATACAACATTTATGTTATATCATAAATCAAAGAAATATTATGAAGAATACATTGAATGAAGGTAATAAAATAAAGTTAGTAAACTTCAAATCATATATATTTATTAATAAACTATAAGCATCATTTCTTTAAAACCTTTAATCATCATTTATTTTTAAATCTTAAAACAATATTTATTTTGAAACTTTAATTAAATCAATATTAATTTTTAACTTATTATCAATATATTATATATTTCTCATTAACACATGGGGCGAATTGACAATAATAGATACTATAACAAAGATTACTATAAAAATCTAATAGAAACAAAATGAACATACAAAACGACTAACACAGCTGAAAGTTTCAAGTTAGGTAGCATGCAAATGTTCATTTTATTTAACAAATATTTAAAAATAGATAAGATGACAAACTGGTGTTAAAAAAAATCTAAGTGTTGACAGCCTTTTAAAGCACACACGCTTACGCGTTAGCGTACACAGAGTTATACTCAATGTCGATGTGTGCAGATTACAACCGGCCATTTAATAATAACTAAGTTTAATGATGATTATCCGTCACGCGATTTTTGAACACCCGGGTGTGGAAACGTTTCAAGTGCGTTTTCGCGTGACGGGTTAACTTAATTACTCACCTAGAGTCGATGCTCAAAATGTCCACCTCCTCTCTGCAGATAGAGCGGAGCACGCTCTTTTGTACGCCGGTGCACGCGCGAAATTACATAATTTTCCAGAATTTGCCGGCGGAGCTCTTCAAATGCTACCAGGCGGTTCACCATATCACCACGAGTTTCGCATTCATCGTGATAAACGCGATCTTTTAAAGTGCCCCCTAAAGAAAAGTCCAGAGGAGTGAGGTCAGGAGAGCGCTCTCTATAACTAAGACAAGGTTTTGTTTTGCGTGGTATTAGTATCTCTTTAAAGTGGTTTATTTTTAACCAACTTCAAAATATAAGAATAGGTTTTCAATTTGGCTGTTTTCTTGTATTCATATTGCATTTTTTTTTGTTTGAAAGTATCCCATTAAAACTTTAACGAAATTAGATCAGCAGTTTTGTTTTAGTTAAAAAAAACTGGGAGAACTACATCGCCAAAATAAGTATAAGAATGGCAAATATAATATCCCCATATAAACTTCTACCCGTCTTTTTATTCCTTTCATAGGATTCGTATGAAATCTATTCTATATCTTATTCAGAGTTTCATATTTTTTATACCAAATTTTATCTAAATGGTTTGAGATCGTTTGGAAAAAAAAGTAAATACAATTTATCACAAAAATGGCTCACTTTCGGATACATAATGTGAGGTTAAAATAATTGTAAATGACCTTCCCTACGACCCCATAAAAGGATCCGGTCTAATTACCCATAACCCATATTTGTACTGTGGTTCATGTTTATTTCTATTACTTTTTTGGGCCAGAATATACCTATGTACATATGTATTAGTAACTATGTACGGCTGTAAGTAATCTTCAGAGTTTTTGAGCTAGTGTTGATTCATATTTTGTTTTTTAGAGAAGTAATTGTGTCGAATGAAGTGTCCATACATTCTCCCTAATCTGTTTTCTATGATTTCCAGCAGGCCTACAGCGTGGCAAAATTGGCTTTGATTTGATTGATATTGTGGTAAATCAAAATGCACTCAATGTTAAATTGCATTGGGTTTAATTCGATATAATAAACATATTACATATGTTATCTAACAATACATATTGAATATTGAGTACAATGTCAACCAAATCAAACTCAATGTTGTTACGCGGCAGCCCTAATAGCCGTTTCTTGTCGTTGATGATTCCCAATACTTATTCAATCGATTTTATTTCCGTCCAGCTAATCTTTTACATTATTCTCCAACATTACAAAAACCTTTTACTACTCTAGATAATCTTCTTGGCTATGTAGACCGGCAATCTCACCTTGAATAGGTGTAAACGCACTCATAGCCATCGTTGATTTCATTATTTTTAATAGAAACACGATAATATCATTACTACAGTGCTTATAAATATAAAAGTTATCAAATACATATACAAAACCTGTTAAGTCATAACGGATACATACACATGAAATAGTACTTAGAAAATAGGCAAGGTGTGTTTTTTCTTTTCTCAAAAACATCGTAGTAAAATCCAAACTACTCATCCAATTGATTTGAGGTAAAAGACAATTTTCATTTCCATTTTTCTTAGACGATTAGCATATTTATTTTGATAAGGATTCAATATCACTTATTCAAATAAACGTCTAAAGACGGACAATAAATTTTAGATATATGTTAATACAATAAAGGTATAAAAATTTTAAACAGACGCCCTCAACCGGTTAGCTCATGAATATTTATGAAGATCTCATTTCTATTTATTCAAAGATCAAGGATGGTCATCGATTTCTAGTTACATAATGGATGTCTATTCAACTGTTGTTGATTGTTATTGTTTCGTGATCTTCCAGTTATTTTATTTAGGATCAGGATGACGCAATGGTGAGCGCAATCGGTCTATGATGCGGAAGCTAAGCAACTTTCGCAAAGACCTGTTAAAGGATGGGTGACCAAAAATTTAATATCTCGAGCTCCTCATTTCTTCTTTTTCAGAAAGCACATTAAGAAGTTGATCCCGTGTTAACACCCACTAATCTGCGCTGGGCCTGTATGGTGTAGTACCGCTATACGACTCCATCCATAAGGAAATCCTGTAAAATTAATGGGCAATTTTAGGGTTCCAAAACTCAAAACAAAAATCTGCCCGTTTATCTACATCAGCTGATTTGCATCAGTTAATTGCGTTAAAATTAGATCAAAAATGAGAGATACACTCGGTTTCTGAATTGAGAATTTAAACTTAAGGACATCTCAAACTATACTTAAACCCTGTTTTCGTTTTTGGTTTTAGTTTTTTTAATACTACGGGACCGTTTTACCTCGTGTAACGTAAATATCATAATTTATTAGAAATTATTAGTTGAGATTTTACACTTTTCTCAATTCAGGAACTGGCTGTTAGTGACCTTAAGATGAAAATGTATCTCTATCTGGCTCAATGACTTACCCTCATTTATTTTCAAGCTATTTGAGAATTGCAGTTATTTTCATCTAATCAACAAGAATTTGAATAAAGTATGAACTGTTAATAGTTAGAATACTAATATTATTAGCTATTAACAGTTTTACTTGGTTCAAATTATCGTATATTGGTTAAAGATTTGTATCTTTTTTTACAAAAAAATGTACAAAACTTTTTTTCAAGTAATTACTTCTCTCGACTATAGATAGGAATCATACATCTGGTCTCTGAATTGAGTATTTAAAGTTAAGCATGTGTCAAACTGTACTTAAACGTCACATAAATAGGTTTTCGTTTCTGATTAAGATGTTTCAATGATCAGTTGACAGCAGTTGATAAAAACTAGGAAAAATTAAGGTCTGTAAAAGGTAAAAAATTTAAGTTATTGAGACTAATCAGTTGAAATTTTGTACTTTTCTCAATTCAGAAACCGGCCGTAAGTCATTCGTAAAGAACGTGATTAGGTAGTTAGTACTAATTTATCGAAAATTATCCCAAATGGGGAACTGGTCGACGCAGCTAATTAAAATAAATGCGGATCGGTTCAACGAATGAGTTTTCACATGTTATAGCAAAAATAACTCTTCTTGATACACGCGACGCTTCGGGATCGTTTAACGAAAGAATTTCAAGGACACTTTGTACGGTCAATAATCTCAAAAATGATGGTGATATAATTCTGTTTAATAGTATGCCTAATTCAATTCCTGTCAATATATATAATGAAGACAATTCTAGTTATATTCAACTGTTGTTTCTGGACATTGGACGAGCGTAGATCTCATTCAAAATGAAGTTCTTGGTAAGAATTTTTATTTATTTGTGAAAAAGTAATTCTATCAGTGATAAAAGAATATTTAATATCAAAATAAGTAAAATTAATTTCGATATAGGTTGTTTAAATTAAAATTAAAGGCTTGTGGAATTAAAAGAAAATCAATGATATTTTGTTTTCTTAGGTATTAGCACTCTGCGTATATGCTGCAAGTGGGGCTTCCTTCAACAATCCCAACTTTGGTTTCAAGCCATGGCAAACAGGAAACGTCGCCAGAACAACACAAACTGGAGGCTATGCCAAAGCTACAGCACAAGTTTCCGTACCGGTGACCCAAACTGTTGATCCTGTTGTAGATGTAGCCAAAACTGTTGTAGAGCCTGTTGTACAAGTAGCTAAAGTTGTCACTCCCGTCATACAAGAATCTAAAGTCATCACTCCCATCGTACAGTCCAGAGGAGCGACACCTGTAGTGCAGGTAGCCAAATACGCTACTCCTTACGCTGAGCCCATAGAAGTTGTCAGCAAGGACGCCTATGCTGAAGTCCTCCGCTCAGAGACCGAGGTTCACCCAGAAGGCTTCCAATATACGTAAGTCATTAAGATTATAAGTATTTTAGATAAAATATAATTTTTAAGGGTATGCGGTATATCTATACTAGATCATTACTTTTTTTTAAATTTGTTTTTCTATAAAGATTTGATTATTTATTTACTAATTTGATACTAGCGAAATTACTAGACTGTTTTTTTAAATTATTTCAAATGCAGAAAGCTACATCACATGCGGTGAACATAGGCTGTATTTTATCCCAAAAACAGCAAATATAGCGAAGTGGAAGTTTGTATAGAGAATCAAAATGTTACCATATTAACGATTGTTTACTATTCAATATCCAATAATTAGTTCCCTGGAGATCCCGCGAACGAAGCCGTTCGTGGAAAGTTAGTTGTTTATATTTTTAATCTAAAAATTCTTATAATCGTGCGTTATAAGAAGTTTTAAAATGCCGTTTTGACGTAATATTTATCTCCTACAAATAACCATTAACTGCAAGTTATTTCACAGTTTTGGTTTCATACCTACGTATGTTAAAATTATTAATTTAATTTAGGTACGAGACCTCCAACGGTATTGCGGCTGCGTCCACAGGCGAGTTGAAGAAAGTTAACAACGTTGATGCTATAGTAAGTTTTATTGACAATCCCTACTGATAACATAAATGGTCAAGTCGCGTCATGCTATCGTTGTTGTTGTGCAAGTTTCGGAAGGTTCAGGCACGGGATGAGTGGCCAAAAAAATATTATCTCGAGCTACTACTTCGTGCTTCGAATGGTACATAAAGCCGTTGGTGCCGGCTGCATTTGCTGCAATGCCCTCCAAGCCGCATCGGGCCAGCGAGAAGGATCATGGCCCGTGCTCCTTAACCATTCATAAGGAAGGCCTGAGCCCATGCAGTGGAGACGTAAAAGGGCTGATGATGATGATGTACTAGTTAAGATGGAATACTTGGGAGGCTTAAAAGTGATAAACGATACATTTTACAACGATAATACAACCTATTTATATCCGTGACCGTGATCTGTGACAACCTATTATATTAGAGCCATGGGTGGGTTGGTCTAATTTGCGTACGAAGGGTATCAGTATCATTATCTATGAATAACGCAAAAAAAGCATTGTTTTTTATGGAAGCCTCATTAAATACTTATTTAATTCTGTTTTTTGATATTTATTTTTATAGCGGCAATAGTCTCATATTTCAAATGTCTAACATAAGATTCAGCCTGTTGACAAACGGACAGACACAGACGGACGGGTAGTTAGCGAAGTAATAGTAATAGGGTCCTTTTTACCCCTTGGAACCCCTAAAAGTACTACCACTATTTTAATTTTCTTCATATTTAGGTCGTACGAGGACAGTACCAATATGTTGGTCGTGATGGTGTGCCCGTCACCGTCACCTACGTCGCCGATGAGAACGGATACCAACCCCAGGTGAGAAAAAATAAAATACATATTTTATAAATAAATTAAAATCATTTGACGACTTTAATAATATTATCGTTTCAAATTATTATGACATAAAATCTTAGTAAGCTTAAGCTTCTCCCTGTCTGATGCGATTCCATCTATAGGCATATACTCCAGCAGGGGAGACGCCAATACACTGAAGATGAAGAACTTAAACTAATTATTTAATATATATTTATTGAAATAAACATGAGTATCTACTTAATAGAATGAGATTTTCCTGTGAATTTCTACACAAATATATATTCTTGATACTCGTAGAAGGTCGTGACATAAATGTGCAGAAACTTTCGAATTATTGATATTTCAGTTTGTTGAAGTACTAATGGTGTACATAACTCAGTACTCAGTGCAGAGGTCAGGTGTTGGAATCACTAGTAACTGCGGACCAATATAAAGTACGAAAAATCGTAACTAAAATTACAGGTGGTTTTCTTATTGTTCAAAATTAGCGAAAAACTAATTCTTAATATATAAAAAGATATTAAATCGCTCAGATTGCGCTATCGTGAAATACGGCGACGCAACAGATATCGGAAGTTGGTGTGATAATGAGCTCCGAAAAAGAGTTTCGTAATGGTTGAAAGTTAATAAATGCAAAAGGCACATGTACCCCATCAAATATAATAGGTCTGCGGAAAGGAAAGGAAAGGAACAAGTCTGCGTTAATAGCGCCAATTGTATTATCAAGTCACTCGAAGCACTCCTGTGACTAAATTTGAAGGTCATCTGCATACAAATGATAGGAAGAATATATCTATAGTACTTCATCATACTGGAGAATCGGGCTTTCGAAAGCTGTCGCATATTTTTGTGACGAGCTCTCCGTCAATGAAGATTTCATTGCATCATACAAAACTAAATAAAAAATATTCTGATGTGTCCCGTAGGCTGTTAAGTGAATTACGTTTTTCCGCTCTACCAAAATACATAACTAATTGCCTCTAGGTTTTAACTCTTTGAAAGATCTATCAATTGACACAAAAAAGTAGTGTTTAATTGGAAAAAGTTAGCAGTAATAATATTATTAATACGTTAGTAAAAATATTAAATAACACAAACGTCTGTTTTCCTCCACAGGGTGACCTCTTACCAGTGGCTCCTCCAGTACCAGTAGCTATCGCTCGTGCTCTCGAGTTCGTCCGCACTCATCCTTCTAAAGTAGAAACAGTCAAAAACTATTGATTCTTCTCTACCAATCCAGTAATAACTAGGTCAAGAATAATAAAACAAGCACGACATATGCGAGTAAAAAAGGAACTCCGGAAGACTGGTGTGATAAAATGTATAATAATGGCTGACTGTTCTTACAGATGTAAATAAATGTTATGAATAGCATATTGTTATGTTTAATCGTGGGAGAGACAAACTTCGGCACAAATGGCTCGACCAGAGTGATACCACGGCCTCACAGAAAACCGACGTGAAACAACACTTGCGTTGTGTTTCGTCGTGTGAGTGAGGGTACCGGAGGCCCAACTCCTCCCTATTCCCTTCCCTCTACCCCTCAACCCTTCCCTCAAAGGTCGGTAGCGCGCTTGTAGCTCCTCTGGTGTTGCAGGTGTCCTTGGGCGACGGTAATCACTTACCATTAGGTAATCCGTCTGCTCGTCTGCCCCCTATCCCATAAAAAAAAGTCTTTTTGATCATGACAAAATATTTCGGGGAACGATAATAATTAAGTAATATCTATACTTATAAATCTGTAGAGAGGTCAATTCTGTACATGAAATATATTTCCAAAATAACTATCAGAGGCTGATTAGGGATTGATACTGATACCAAAAATGCAATCAGTAAAATTTTTGTCTATCTGTCTGTCTGTATAACCGTTATAGAAACAAAAACTACTCGACGGATTTTAACGAAACTTGGTACAATTATTTTTACATACTCCTGAGCTGGTTATAGTATACTTTTCATCACGCTACAAGGAAATGTTCTCCTTAAAATTATATAAAAAATATCCCACGACAGCATATGTTTATCTATTATGGTTGACTCACAATAACACGTGTAACTCCCGATAGCTTAGCAGTTCGGAGCTTTCTGATTGTATTTGTCTATTGTCTACTCTTACGTTTATAACACTCTCAGTCATCACTAATTAAAAAAGTTAAATCACGCCGACACTACTGAACGGATTTTGATGAAATTTGGTATACAGATAGGGTATTAGCTGACTTAGATAAAAGGATACTTTTTATCCCACTTAACATTTCCCTAGGGACCACGCGGGCGAAGCCGCTGGCGAAAGCTAGTAATATAAATAAGATTATACAGTATATTTTGTCCAGCGGCAAGATATTATCCATATTTGGAAGATATTCCTCATCACCTTGTCTCGGGTACTGTGTTTAAACACATACGGTGTAAGAAAAGCTGAAAATGCATATTAAAATACATTGTATAGTGTGTGGTGTGTGCCTGTAAGTGCTTGTACCGTAAGGTTTCAGACTTACGTTTAAAAGTAAAACCAGAAACTAGTTATGATTTTTAAAGAAAAAATGGTTGATATTTGGTTGATGTGGGTCATTTTTGCCTTATAGGTACTTATTCTTAACTTTGTTCATTCTCGTCACTCCAACTCCATACATCCAAATTAGTATACGCATATCAGCTACATGCAATCGGCTTTCATCCGTCTGCTTTATCATCCAGCACTTTGATCCATATAAAACGGCAGGTCTTTTTGGGTATTTTATATTTATATTTTACTTTAATCTACTAGAACATATACGACATTCACTATTTGTTTTTGCCATGTTTTGCAACAATCACACGGGCTTCCAGACAAGGTTTGTTCTGCAGGTCGAAATTTCCAAAACGAAAACGTTGGAACCAAAAACGCTCTGTGTTTTCTTTTGCACCACAACGATACGTGGCCAGTACGATAAAACGGCAATTTCATATGTAAGGACCTAATATTAATGGTACATATTTTGAGAGCTCCATATTTAGTGCAGCACAATGATATTTTAATATAGACACCTGTTTAACTTAATATTACCCTAGCTTTCCACTAACGACTTCGCCCGCGTGATCCCTAGGGAACTGTTTATTTGGATATATATACATATTATAACACTGATATAATTGCAATGACAAATTTAGGGTATGTTCCGATATACACTGCGAGCACTGCGCAGTGGTCTTACGCTTTTGATCACGTGATCAGTCGAAACAGAATCAGAAAATGATAAGTTTCTAAATAAACAAAAAAAAATTACGTTTATTATAAGATGGATAAATATTTTTTTTATACAATTTTCCAATTTTATAATATTTTCTTTTGAAAAGAGGGAATCTTTATATTTATATTCACCTTGCATTAACAAATTTGAAAATGGCGCCAAAAAATAGGATTAACAGTATACTGGACTGCGTTCCGTTTTAAAAAGTCACCAGTATAACTAGCTATAAAGGAACGGGCTTCCAGTATACTAAATTGACGTCATACTGTTCAGTGGTCGCAGTGTATATCGGAACATACCCTTAATAGTAAACAATGATTACTGCGGTAAATTTTTAATTATCTCTCTATACAAACTTTCTTTCCTGAAATAGTGTAAAAGGTCGCACTAGAAATGTGCAAGAGCTTTCGAAAGCTTGATTTTTCAGTATGTTAAACTTGATAATGGTGGAACAATGTAAAGTACGAAAATTCGTAACTAAATTAAAGGTGCTTTTTAATAGCTTAGAATTAGCAAAAAATAACTTATTTTCATATAAAGAGGTGTACAACTTGACGAGACGGGACGACTGAGAGGCGACTCAGCAGACTTCAGGAGTTGTTATGAAAATGAGCCCCAAAGAAGAGTTTCGTAATGGTTGAAAGTTAAATTATTACTAATATATTAGTTTTTTCATATAGTGGAACAAACATATTCAACAATGCAAGAAGTTTGAGAAAATCTCAACTTTCTAACTATCACGGTTCATGAGATGTAGCCTGGTGACAGATAGACAGACAGATATACAGGGAAGTTTTAGTAATAAGATTTTACTCTTTGGGTACGGAATCCCAAAAACAATAATGACTAGACAAATTTATGAAAATTGAAGAAAACAAAGTATGTCAGGCGCCGATTTTCAATTAAATTTAGAATTCATCATGACTTGCAGAGTCGCACAAACATCCATTAAAATTGACATTACTTAAAAGCGACATTACTGATACATATTTGCAAATTTAAAACTTTTATTAGAGCTTAAGATCGTTTCCACAACTGGGTGTTAGACCATAACACCATAACCGTAACTAAAAACTAAAAAATCTACTTTAAAAATCTGATAAACTTAAACTATAAAAACAGATATTAAAAAGAGTAGGTACATAAATTATGAAAATTCTGGCAACTCTATCATAACAGATTTTCCTTCAGAAAAATGTATATAGTAAAAATGTCACAAAGCGTTTTGGCTACGAATTTCATAGCAGGCGTTACTATTTCTATATACATACTGTATTTTGTTATTTCACAGACAGATTAGTTATATGTCATCATTATCACCAACCAACTGCTATTTCACAGGCCTCCCCTCCCGTAGGTATCAAATAGGGGGAAAGGGTCATCACTCACCATAAGTCCAGTATGGATTGCTGGGTGGAATAGTGGTGAATAAGTTGAACTTCAATTCCTTTTATTTTTTATTTTTCATTTCAATACACTCTGCATATAATATGTTGGGATACACATCTTCCCTTTTAATAATAAGCTACAACACATCTTACAGCCTTACTTATAAAAATTCATTAGACTATGGTTATTCAATCGTTATACCAAGAATAGTTATACTCGGTATATGCTCATAATAACGGAAGAATATCTTTTGACTTATAAACTTGGTATATCTTCGGCGTAAGTATTCCACCCTTATGTTCGATGCACGTAGCGGCAACGCCGCATTTTATAGACAAAATCGAAAAAAAGAAAGTATTTTGTCTGTTGAAGTGTTAAATATCACTGAGTTTAACGTTTGGTTGATTGATGTTACATGTGGTTATTCCTTGAACAAACGCAGGTCATTTTGTGCAAGTTCAAATATAAACTAATATCAAAATGGCAAGTAAAAGTAGTATCTCAGCGTTATCAGTAACTGCAATATAGCTCACTGCCAAATAAACGTACTAACAATAAGAAGCCGTCTTTGGAAAAACGATATTTTATACGAAATTCGTCGTCATTGTACAAAAGGAAGGGATCGTTTCTAGTTCTAAATATTTTAGATTTTCTTCTCGTCCTAAACATTTGCGAGCGATTGATCAAATTATTAATTTCTTCCACTTTTTGTATTGTCTAAACGCCATATTTCAATAAACACACGTTTCAATATTATTAAAAATTATCTAATACGATAAATAATTGGTAAATATCAATAAAGCACCAGGGTGATTCTTGGGAAATGTGTTCTCCGTGTAATTTCCAGGGCATTTTTGAAATCGTAAAATTATGGTGAATTATATAAATATTTCGAAAACTTCTGCAAATTTAAACAACATATTAAAATTGGCCACGACTGAGATCTATACTTTTGCTAAAAAAAAATGTAGAAAATTGGCGGACCATGGAAATTACAATAAAGGCAATGGAAATTACACAGCAGATAAAATTTTGCTAAACACCATGCCATATATGAAATTAAGCTGTCATTTTAGTTAGGGTAGTATTAAGATCTACCTACATTATACTGAAACGATATACGATAGTACTTACTCAAAATTGGAACGAAACGTAAACACGTTCATGTTCTCAAAAAACAAAATATATACAACGTGTTATGGAAATAGCGCAAAACCTCTCAGGTGGTAGCTCAGCCCATAAAACTGAACAACTTTCACTATGAGACCAACATTGAAATTTCAGCATCTGGCAAATTTTTCGAAGTAACGTTACATCGGACAAACAAAAGTCGGGCGTCGAAGTAAGATATGCGATGCATTGAAACTTCGAACAATGAAGGCTTCGACGTACTTGTATAGTTGTCGATGTATCAATTATCGAAGAAACGTGTTTCGAAGTGACATAGAGAACCCTTTTTCGAAATGGTTATTTATTTTGTCAATTATCTTATAAAATACGCATCCTACGTCAAATATCAATAATTAATTTATTGTAAATTTAATTGGCTTTCATTTAACACCGATTTGGTACCTGATAGGGCCAGTGGTTTTCTCAAAAACGATAGATAGCGAACACCGGTCATAAGTAGATATTAGGAGGTTATTTCAGTCAAGATAACCCCCTTGGCTATCTATCGTTTTTGAGAAAACCATTGGCCCTACAGGTACCAATTTAGTGTTTAATCAAAGTAAATTTTTACAATAAATAAATAAATTATATAATATGTTAACTTAATCCGGTGATATTTAAGACGATTTAATTAAAAAAATAACCAACATTCAACATTTAAGTCTGTATTTGGCGATGGCGTGCATTTCATTGAAAACAAACATTTAACATAACGTTTGTTTTTTTGCAACCAAAAAGAAACAAGGTAATTTCCATGGGTGATACGTAATTTCCATGATGTTTTATCCATGGAAATTACACCATGGAAATTACCAAAAAACATATATTTTGAAATTACTCTGCATTGAAAAGATATAACCGGCTAGTTTTTTACTGTTTATCTACATTATAGAGCTAGGTATTTCACCTTAAAACCCATTTTCTAGAAGAAGTACAATTATATTGAAAAAATGTGACATGGCAAAGCCGGATAACTGAGAACCAAAATTTAAGAGATTGAAGAACTTATTCTCGCAACGAAAGCGCGGGTAACAGCGACGTGGCCACCTCACCTGCTAGCTGCGGCGTAAATGACGATTCGTAAACACCAATCGGGGTTCGTCTACGCCTCTCCAGCTCAGAGCAGTATCTCGCGCAAGGCGCGCCGCGAAAATTTTGCTAAGCGTGTGACACGTATACTTCTGACCATAAAATCAAAAGTTTCCTTCCGATTAATTTGAAATTTGATCAATATGTAAAGCGATTTGTCTTTTTTAAATGTGTGTAACAAACTGATTAAAAACGTGGGTAATTTACAAAAATATTTGCGATTGCTCAAAAGTCGGCGCGCGTGTGACACGGTAAAAACGTGCAAAATTGACCGGATTTGAGGTGTTGAGGGTAAGTTACTCCGATCTACGTCGTTTTTTATCCGTGAAATCTATATGACACGATGCTCAATGAAATGAAGAAATGATGTAATAGTAGTTTTTATCATAATAATTTATTTTTATAGGAGATATGACCCTGTGACACTCAAAAATTGCTTTTTCAAGAAGTACCCACCAACAATATCAAAATGTTATTTGACAAATGCGTTGCTACACCAGAGTTATACTAGGGTGACGGGCGGAATATCGGTGGAATAAGTTTTGTTAGAACGTTACATCCAGGTTATGCTAAGCATAAGTTACACCGAGTTTATAAGTTGACATTTTGCGTATTCTGCACTAATTCTCGGTATAACATTTTATACCACGTTTATAAGTAGCGCTGCTAATGTTTAAATAAACAATGGATACACCACGTCTTTTCCTTTAAGAATAAGCTTCACACATCTAAACAACTAATGTTAATGAGAAGCGACATGATAAAAAAATAGCTAACTTAAGACATTATAATACTTATTATTTTAAAATTTTATTATTATAAAGTAAGTTTATCAGGAGCATTAACAATTCTACCACTTTTTTAGTTATGTAATTTTGTTTTTATGGTGGATTTACATTAATTTTTATTTGATCCTTTGGTTCATCAGCTGGCATATCTATAGGACTATTATAATCACTATAATTGGTTTTTTTTTAGCTGAGCATTTGTTCTACGTAGAATTCGGATTTTACAATTAATCTAATATGACCTAGGCTCTTAAGCCAAAGGGCTTTATCGACAATAATTCCCTTTTCCCATGTTTTATCTTTCTTTCGGTTTACAATCATTTCTCCCTTATAAAACGTCACTTCCTTTCTTCTTGCATATTTATCGAATGTATTTTTTGCGCTAGACTAATTAAAACACAATTTTTTATATTATATTTAACTGTAATAATTTTGGCTGTAACAATTCTGAAATCAGAGTTATTTGTGATCTTTGTTCTACTTTGTATTATTTGGGCCGGTGATACGTTTAATCTGGTTAATGGGGAATTATTATAATAAAATAAATTATCTCTATAGTCAGTTTAAAGGCGAAAATGGGGTTATTCCAAAAATAAGCGATTACTACCAAAATAAGCAATATTTATCGCTCTGGAAAGGTTCATATAGTTTCTCTGGAAAGGTTCATATGTAATACTTTTTTTATAAATATTAACAAGTTCATGTTCCTCAATTACTGCATCTTTTAACCTTTCAAATGCCTCTTTATGTTATTGCCATTCTACATTCTACTCATGCCACTGCCATTCTATGTTTTTCTTAAACAAGGCACACAAAGGTGACATTTAATTAGCCATTTCAGGAATATATCTTGCTACATAGTTAAAAAATCCTAAATTTTTTTGTAAGACGTTTTGTTTTGGGTACTTTCAAATCTAGAACTGTAAACCATTTCATAATATTTAATTTAGTTGCTACGTCTTCTAAGGTAGGCATTAACTTGGGTTTTCTATATCTATATTAATTTTGTATGTATTTATGTCGTATGGATCCAGACACAGTCTTAATTCTTTATTAGGTTTTTCTACTTTAACTAATTTATTAATACATGCATTTTCTGTAAATATATCAACTTTCGCAATTGCTTTTCTAGCCAATATATCTTTGTAACTCTTTTTCTTATGGATCACGAATGGAACAGGGTATTTTATTGGAAGGGTGACATATGTTGCCTTCTACTTTTTTTCTAACTTTTCACAATAACAAGCAGTTATTAGTTGCTTATCAAATAATGATCAAAAATTTTCTCCTTCTTGTTTATTAAATAAGTATCAGTTGAATACCTGTACATATGAGGTTGTATGTACGAGTTGATGATTTCTATTACATTTTTTTTCTTCGTTAAATCCCGGTACGTTCATTAGTACTCTAATAGCGTCAGGCCCCTTTATATTTCCCAGAATCGCAATCTTTGTTATATCCATACTCCCATCTTTATTGTTTAAGGTAATATAATCGGCTATTAGCATTTTGAATAATTCCTATTAATTTGTTATGTTTTTACTTGTTAGGTCTAGGTTGCGTGGTAGTTTTGCATTAATATTAATATGAATCATGGACTTTCTGCTCTTACTTGATAAACTTATTATTTCTTTGCACAAATATTTACTCGATCGGATTAATATTTAATAGATAATTATTTAATTTCGGATTGCGCCATGATTAAAACAATAAGTTGAGCTGCAATCCCATTAATTTTTTTTACGTTCCGATACACACTGCATAAAATATGTTCGGATACACAACCATAACTGAAGTTTATATTTGAGTCTATTAAATTCTAAATTTCTAATGTCAGTGTAGCGGTGCTGGATGGCACAGTGGCTAGCGCACTAAGTACGGATGACCAAAAATTTACTATTTTCAGTCGTTAATACCCACCATTCCGCACTGGGCTTGAGTGGTAGGTCATGGCCTATTCTGCTTATTCGATTCCACCTATAGGGAAGATCTGAGCCCCAGCAGTGGGAACATTAAAAGGCTGATGATGTGATGTGAATGTCGGTCGCTAGGTAGATTATTTTAAATTAAATATGAATTATTATCAGATTGATAAACTAAATATTTATTAACCTAATACGAAATTGTGAAAATTCGTCTTTGTGGTATACATTAACCTCCTATAGGTGTCTTTATCGAGTGTTAAGTAATTCTTTGGAGAGATTATATAGGTATATTTTAAAATATTTTCTATTATGACTTTCAGTATTGTACAATTAAAAAAGCTACCACAATAAAATATTCAGAATATACATCTGTCCATAGAATTATTTTGACCTAATTAGCCTGGACTTATATGATTATAGAAAACCCTAGATTTTTAAAGAACAAAACAACTCTAGTAATGGCGGTACAAATTAACTACAATATTGTTTTCTGTAGAATAAGATATAATAGTAAATTCAGTTTGAATCCTAACAAACTGCGTTCCCAATTGCAAGTACATTGAAAAACGAATAGTACAAGTCGACTATTGTCACTTGGACATCACTAGGAAATGAAATGTTCATTTAGTTGGATAGCAACGCCTATCTAACTCTTTCGTTATATATAACTCTAGCCATAGCTATGTATATTCTTGTTATTGCTTACAATTAATTTGGTCTATATATTTTTCATTAATTACTTTAGAACTTGACGCAAAAAACGATATAATCATCGATTTCAATTCTAAATATTATAGAGAATAAATGTGGGTGAAAAAATTTCCTAAATCAACGAAAACGACATTTTATGGCACGTCTATACATTTATTTACATTCATTGAATTAGTTCAACTGTTTCAAACAATATTATATAACAACTTTTCTAGATCACGGGGTCCGTTTAGTATACTCGCGTTATGGCGCTTCATATGTAGTGTGGTGAGAAAATCCTTGTTTGATCATGGATCTTAATAATTTTGATCTTTAGAAGGATGGGCAGCGATGTACTCCAAGGAACGAACAATAGCTTCAGGCACAGGAGGAGGCACAGGCAAGTGGGCGCCCTGTAATTAAAAACTGCATTGTTAGAAGAATGTAACCGCATATATAGTATCCCTAAACTAGAAAACTTATATTTTAAATGAAAAATGCTTATAAAATCCAATTTTTCCCTGGCACTTTGAGATGGGACTCGAATCCATTACCTTTCGCGATCCGGGTGATTGCTCTAACCACTGAGCTACCCAGGACCTAACAGGACTAACAAATAAGCATTTGTTACTTTTTCGCTACTACGTATTTGCATCAATATCCAGGAAATGTCAGGCAAATGCCAGGGACAAAGTGGATTTTTTAAGCATTTTCCATTTACAATATTTTTCAGTATACCATTGTGAATGCAAAATTGATCAAATATAATAAACTTATATTTTTCTTAAGTTATACCTAATAGAAAATAAAATTAAGAATTTTAAATAGGGGTAGATACAGCTCGATATCCGACAGCTTGACCACGAAGCCGGCAGACAGGCTGTCGACCACCTATTTAACCCGCCGAGCAATGTACATCCACACGGACAAATCGTTCACAATTAACCTAAACACAATACTCGTTATCGAAACATACCTGGGGTTGGAATCCATTCTCATCAGCTACATAGGTGACCTCGATGGGTCCATCAGGGGACTGATATTGGTACTGACCTTGCACAGCCTGAAAGCAATCGTATCAAAGATTATAACGTATCTTATAATGATATAGGAGTATATTTCATTAGTTACCTTTAAATTTTTTCACTTTTTAGAGCGAAACTTACCAAAACATCAACTTTGTCAACATTCTTCAGAACCCCACTGGCGGAAGCAGAAATTCCATTGGAAGTTTCATAGCTATAACCGAAGAATTATAATTATATCATAAACATGTGTATTAATATAAATAAACTTAAATACATTTACATTTACTTTTTAATCAGTCTATGAACATATAGACGCTGGAAAGCAAACATGCAGTAACCTGCAAAACCAAAATGTAAATTTAGAGTGGAAAATCTTTATATTATCCCGAAAAAAAATAACTTTTTCCCGTATAAATTGACTAAGTAACACCTTATTTGTTATCATGGACGTTTATAGAAATTATTTATAGAAAAAAAAAGTTTTTCTGCTCTAAAGAACAATTATGGTTTTGCGGGGTACTACGTGTTTGCTTTCCAGCAATGTTAAAGAAGAAGATGTTAGAGTTAAGTACACAAAGTGTCGTAAAGCATTATATAAATGATTAATTATTATTAAAGAATAAGCGGATCAATTTGCAAGATAAATAAATTCTTACACGTAATTGTAACTGTCGGGGTTAACTTCAGAATTGAATCGGGTTACTGTGGCATCAGCATTTGAACCACTGCTGACAGGGCTGGTCTTTTGAACAGCAACAGGCTGAGCAACGACTTTTTTAGTGACTGCGACTTTAGATCCGGCGTGTGCATAGTAAGTAGCCGCGGAGGCTGCGCACACGCAAAGAGCCAGTACCTGAGATAAACACAGTTTCTAGACACCAATACACAAACTAGACAACGTCACTCAGAATACAAATTAAATAGCTTTAGCCCTTGTGATATGGCAATCCATAAACAACAGTGATACCACAACCCTCAGACCAAAGACAATTTAGAAACGTTCAATCGTGAAACGAATCCGTGACTTCAGATATGGTGAATCGGATTTTTTATTATTTCTATAAATAATTACACTAGCAATTTTAAACCTACCAAGAATTTCATTTTGAGAGATCTCTGTCCAATCGTTAGTCAGAAACTACAGATGATATTGCTTAAAGAATATCCTTTTTATATTAGGACTAAAACAATATTCAACATGAAATTGTCATAGGATATTGACACCAATATTAAAGACTTGAAGAGACTTTAGGTATATTATTCTATCAGGTCAGCGTTTTACCACGAGGCGGCCCCATTACAAGTTATGAATTATATTTCTAGTTTATGTTATTTTCAATATGAGAATGATAAGAATGGTTCCGTATTTTATCTTTATATTTCCAAAAAAAAAACATGTGCAATTAGTTTTCTAGAAACCATTGCAAATTGTAACTTTGTAAAAGGTTTCTTAATATTTGTTTTTTTTTTGCTTTTCCTCGTCATAACGTAACCAATATACGTAAATTCTGTTTTTCATTAGTTATGTATTTGTCGATGGCACAGTAGTTACTACCTGGATTGAAACCGAAGATCATTGACCGTTAGCCCTATGTATATTTCCACTAAGAACGCCTATGCCCCAACAGATGCTAATGATGGTGATATAAGTACTATATCTACTTGCTTTTCAATGAATTTAAGTATTAAATAATATAACATTTCCTTACATTTTGTACAAGGATCTCTAACAAATCTTGTATATAATAAAATTCATCGCCGTCATCGAATATCCTGGTTGGCCTTGATTGTCTTGTATGAATCTGGAAAACGACCAGTATAATTCAAAGATGTCTTACATTCAAAAATAAACTTCAACTAAACAAGTTCCTCATAAATGTCAACGGCTATTATTATCTACTGTCAGGTTACTGAGGTCGCAAGTCCCTTCCATAGTTGCTAACCACGTCATTTATAATTATATATTAATAATGATAATACGTTAATACGTATAAAGACCTTTGATCCCGAATACGAAAATCGCGCGGAATATATTTTATATAGAGATTGAGGTGTAGAAAGCTATTGGTTCTAAATTATAATTACAAATACAATAAAGTTATAATAGAAAGACATTACATACTGCCAAGTATTTGATACATACACGAATATAAGGTACTCTTACTAAACGTGTCATTAGTCTATATTAAACTTCAAACTCATCAAATCAAAATTATGGTATTAAATCTGTCATGTTGTTTATCTTATGTAAAATATATAATTTTCCTTATGACAAAGCTTTCGATATAGCTCGGTGGCATAGTGGATAAGCGTCGCGGCCTGTGTGCGTAGTTCTTAGGCAACTTTCGCAAAGATTGGTTACGGGATGGGTAACCAAAAAATTTATTATCTCTAGCTATTCATTTGCAGTCGTTAATACCCTCCAATCTACATTGAGCCAGCGTGGAGGGTCATAGCCTGTCCTCCTTAACCACCTTTAAGGGAGGCCTTAGCCAATGGGAACCTAAAAGGGTTGATGATGATGATGGAAACTTTCGATGAATTATAGTTGAATTTAAACGATAATATGTTATTGATAGGCGATCAATAACAATGTCAAAGCATATCTTTTGATGCTTATTGAATCTTTGATAAAAATATCGATAACGCCATTTACAGACAAAGATGACCTCGTGAGAATAATGCCTTAAATTCTGATGTTACAGTAAACTTTTAGATTGATGATCTTAACCGCAAAATTCTTCAAACTTGAATAATGAATGTTTCTTATATTTTCAAGCGCTCTACTCATTAAATAAAATTTCGTATAAACAGATTTATCTCATGTATTTTAGAAAAATCTTATCATTTTTAAGAAATTTCGAATCCTACATAAAGTATTTTTATTCAATTGATTAATTTAGATTTTATACAATATTAGCAATTTTTAAGAAAAAATCAAAAAACAATCGAAATGGTCTAAATCAATGTAAAAAACGCATTTTTAACACGAAAAATCTGTCCCTAAATGCAACTATAAACCTCATTAAATGAAGTACTTAATACAGTACTTAAATTAATTTTATTTAGAATTTTTTGTAGTTGAAGTACTGCATGCCCACCGGTTGGCCGAAATTTCAAAATCCTTTAACTCTAACCAGCCACTGTATCTACCTTTTTTTTGTTAACGCAGGGGAAATGCACTTTAAGCCTCAAACCAAGGCTCTCCTTCCACCCCGCCCTAAAAAGGACAGGTTGGTGTGAAAGACCTACCTGGTAAAACCCGCTGCGGTTCACCTCACACGGATAGGAAGAACCCGGCATCCTGCAAGGAGGGACTGGTTTCTTCCGCCGCGCTGGGGTAATGTTATATTTGATCAATTTTGCATTCACAATACTGAAGAATATTCTTAATACAAAATGCTTAAAAAATCCATTTGATCCCTGGCACCTTGAGATGGGACAGATTTTCATCTTTATCGAAAGTTTCAATATTTTTAATAATATTTCTTTCAGCTGTTTGGATGCGTACTGGGTAGCTCAGTGGTTAGAGCAGTCGTTCGGATTGCGAAAGGTCGTGGGTTTGAATCCCATCTCAGGGTGCCAGCAACCAAGTTGATTTTTTAAGCATTCTGTATTAAGAATATAGGTAATGTTTTTGATATGTGTACCAAAAATATTTTGTACATGTACCTATTTGTTAAACATATTCAAATATTACTGAAATCGGAAATATCGTTTTTTCACCCGTCTGCTTCACGTGGAATGCTCCATTTGTATGTAGATTCCGTAAACATTAGTGACGATAAAAGTGAATTTCAATGAGTGATTTTATGTTAATCAAAATATATATATATATATATAACAAAGACTAGGGTTTATTTATTTATTAAAAATGATATACAGAAATGAGCTCTGTGAACAATCTATTTCGGTTATCCTCAGAAGTTGCCAGAATTACAGAATAATGGGCGGCTGTTTCTTCTGTCTCCATGCAGCTTCTGTTGCGCAGAGAGTTGTCTGTGACAACAAGATGTTAAAAGTTGTTTATTAAATTTCTACGACCATTGATAGGAATTTTAACAGACACGTCAGGATAGAGGTTATACATCTGAATCTTTGTGTATCAGCTTGTCAACTATATCAATACCACTTGATCAACTATGTCTTTTTATCTATTAAATAGTGATTAAAGTCAGATTTTCTACCATGTTCAGAGTTTTGGTGACTCTCATATATGTAAACGCCATTTGCCTTCGAAACCGGTAAAATTGTACTCGAGTAGCTCGGTGGCGGAGTAGCTCGGTGGCGTAGTGGATAAGCGCCACGGCCCGCGATCGTTGTCGTTAAGCAACTTTCGCAAGGGTCGGTCACGGGATGGGTGACGAAAACTTATTATCTCGAGCTACTCCGTGCTTCGGAAAGCACGTTAAGCCGTTGGTTCCAGCTGCATTTGCAGTCGTTAATACCCTCCAATCCACATTGGGCCGACGTGGAGGGTCATGGCCCATCCTCTTTAACCATCCTTAAGGAAGGCCGGAGCCCCAGCAGTGGAGACGTAAAAGGGCTGATGATGATGATATCTAATTGGGGTGGCTATGATTTTTTATCATCTGTAAAGACGACGACGAGATATTTTTCAAGCATCTCCAACCAGCATTTTTCCTTTATTAAGCAGCCTATGCGCTTTTCTGGCTTGTATGCTATCGACTCGAGCGAAAGCTTGCATCAATAACTGGCTCATAAATAACTTCATACATTCTTTGAAAGCGTTTTTATTTGGGTTGTAATTATTGGGTTGGCACAAAAGTAATGAGACACACTAGAAAAATCTATAACATTTCCTTTTTAAAATCAATTTTTTCGATAATATTCTAGAATGTTGTAGAACATTCTAGGTACTTCTGGTGTAGGGTATATAAAGCCGCGCTCGCGATTTGTTTAGTCAGTTTGAAGAAAAATGGACGAGCGACAAGTTCGAACACTATACTTATACGAGTACTTGTTAGGCCACAGTGCGCGGGCTGCGGCTGACAATATCAACAATGCATTAGGCGCTGGAAGTACAAGCCATGCGACGGTGTCCCGATGGTTTGACCGTTTTAAATCAGGAGACAGGAGCCTTGAAAGTCAGCCACGCTCAGGGCGACCACCCGCAGTGAATGATGACGATTTGCGCCGCGAACTGCAGTTGAATCCGGATGCTACCACTCGTGAATTAGCGGAAGCACTTAAATGCAGTCACCACGCCGAAGAACACCATCTGCATGAGCTTGGTTATCGAAAAGTTTTGGCTCGGTGGGTACCGCACATCCTTACAGACGCCAGTCGTGCAGTCCGTGTCGCTATCTGTCGGTCACTTTTGCTGCGACCCCGACGTAAAGAGTTTTTGTCAGATCTGGTTACTGGAGATGAATCATGGATTTATTACGAGAACGATACACGTCGTGCTTTTTGGCTGCCTCGAGAAGAAACGCCACCAACTCAACCGAAGCCGAGTCAAAAGAACCGCCGAAAAATTCTGCTTTGCTGTTTCTGGGATGCGCAAGGCATACTGTTTTATGAGCTATTACACAATGAAACTATAAACGCTGACAAATATTCAACCCAGCTTACCAAATTATCTGCCGCTATCAAGAAAAAACGACGAAGACGAGTCAATGTAGTTTTACTGCACGATAACGCTCGACCTCACGTCGCATCTGTGGTTCGCCGGCAGTTGGAGAACTTGGGCTGGGAGACGATACCCCACCCACCTTATTCCCCAGACCTCGCCCCATCAGACTATCATTTGTTTAGAGCCCTGAAACAGCATTTGCGGGGTAAACAATTTAATGATTTCTCTGACGTAGAGGCGGAGTTGAACAACTTTTTCGAGGCACAGCCATCAGAGTTCTGGGCAAAAGGCATCTAAACTTTGCCGGATCGTTGGCAAGAAGTCTTAGATACTAATGGTAATTACATCATTGACTAAACTTTTTTTATTGTAATAATAATAGAAAAGTAAAAACTTAAACCAAGTGTCTCATTACTTTTGTGCCAACCCGATATTTAGAATCAAAAATTTTTTGCTAATGAAAAAATCGCTAGTACATGGAATATCTGATCTCAAAGAGACAACCTACGAAGCCCCAACCCCATTTTTAGTTGGAACTAACTAGGTAATCCCAGTTAATGCTAGCCAAAGTATTCTTTTCTGAGTAAGCGTTTAATAAAAAAACTTAGTTAAACTCTATTAACCAGTATTTTTTTACGATTCCTAGCTCTAACTTGGGCTATAGTTTATGTGTATCTATGATTGGCGTTAATTTATGATTAGTTGTTGCAAAATCAAATGACTTACACCATTTCTCATCATGGTTTATGGATGATAAGTGTTAATCTTTGTACGATGTATCGTAGCCAAGACTTCCTTACAGTTCCATATACTACCTTTCTTGGATGGTCTTCAAGATTTCGAAACTCATCAGAGCGTTTAATAGAGAACTTGAACTATCTTGCACTACCAGCCATCAATGTTACCAGTGTAATGAAATTATTGCCACTTGTAACAGTGACATAGTTAACATTTAATAATTATGTTCCTTAACCGAGAAACACTAGTTCGCAATCAAAATTTACCTACTTATTTAATCCATAAATTAAGGTAGTCTTGTATAAACCTCTACAACCGACTGACATAGTTAAATTGATAATTTTACGAAACCATGCAGGCTAACCGAAAATCTTGCGTTTCTTCTAAATAGTAGTTTAAAAAAAAACACTTTTGCACACCCGAAAGTTAACTGCATATATTATTAATACTTACCGGAATGTAGTTGAGTTATTTAATTCAAGGCAAAGAGATCTAGCCCACCCATCATAGTCTTGGGTACTCAATGGTGTTTCAAAGTTTCAATGCTTCTTTGGAGTTTGAAAAATCAATCGACGCTTTTTTCTAAATGTAAATTAGCATTTACATTACCATTAACATAAATTCACACAATCAGAGCTGATTCTGTGAATTTATTATTGCGGGTCAGTAATGCGTTACATCGCCAAAAAATAATAATTGTGTTTTTCTATTTTCTCCCTACTTATAAGTAATAATAATAAACAAATCTCCATACCGTAGTTTTATATATTTTAATTAAAAAACATTCTACGCAATTTACTTCATTGGTACCAGAACCTCCAATCTTAATAATTATACGTTCGTTCACCCATATCTAATCTAATATTTAATGCGAAAGTCTATTTGTTCGCTTATTCGTTCGTTTCGTCCTTCTCTTACGTTGTGATGGTGCATTGTTAATTTTTTTTTTTTTGTGGAGACTAAAATAGGTTACTTTACCGCGGAATAAAATTTTAGTTATTTCCTTTAACTATCCGGGTGAAGATTAACTATCAACATATGGTATAAATAACTAGAACTGACTGTGAATGAGCTTAATGAAAAGAAAAAAAAATAAATGAGAGTTTTTAGAAACTAACTCTTAATGGTTAAATATAGATTCAAAATTGACATTGTAAAATTATTTGAAGTGCGTTATTATTATGGTTAGAATATTGTTAATAAGGTTGGTTCAAAAAAGTTATTTGTAAGGTATATAAAGTTTATATGGAAATCCGTTACTTTTCAAGTTTTTCTTCTTTGTTTGTGTTTTTAAAGTTATGTTTAAAAGTAACATTTTTGTGGATAGACAAATCTTCTTCGACTTCGGTGGAAGGAGTAGTCTTGTAATGTGATAGGACAAGATCGCCTCCATTAGAAGCAAAGAATCTTAAAAATTGGCACTTAACTTTTTAGTCTAGAATAAAAACTTTCTAATTTCTATTTTCATTTTAAGCAAATCTCTTTCTGGATCATTGAAATGCAGTAGTGAATTTGTAACCGAAAACACGTAAACGAAGTCTACTTGCAATTTTTAAACGAGCTTTATTTAAGACAGTTATAGAAACTTCTATGTTTTTATTAAAATTCCAATAGGAACATACCAAACCTTAGTTTTAAAGTGGTTGCCTAAGAATTCTTGATATTAGAACTAGAACGACATATTTGTTGAAAATAATAATGGGGATTTTTAAATAATACAAAAGTGTTTCATGTAAAATTATTTACATTATATATAAAAATATTTACAAAATTCGCTTCATTAATCACAACATCAATATATATTCCTAAATAATTTTGGTTGCTAGATGTAGGTATTCAGGAACAAACATTGATTTTTGTATTACTCCTATATCATAGGATATGAATATGGCTTACTGTTAAATTACCATTAAATAAATTTAGGGAGAATTATTTAGCGCCTCCTGTTCTCTGGTTGGGGTGGAGCAGTGGCGAGGTAAGCCAGAGCCCGCTGGATAGCCTCAGGTATTGGGGGAGGTGTCGGCAGATGCGCACCCTGTGGCTGGAATCCATTTTCGTTAGCGATGTAGCTCAATTGAATGTTTCCACCTTCCTCACTCGGGTACTGGAATTGACCTTGGACCTCCAGAGCTGGCTCCTCAGCTCCAACATTCTTCAGAGCCCCTTTCTCATCAGCGACGATGCCATTACCAGTCTCGTAAGCCCACTGGTATGAGCCGTCAGGGTTGATCTCACTCTCCTGCCGGACGATCGGAATTGGCTCCGTCGGCCCTTGAGGTGCAGCAATGGTGACAGTCAAAAGTCCCAATAAAACCTGTAATGATACATTTCTGTTAATGATTCCCACTGAAAACTCCCAGATGCACGATAGATCCCAGATGTTCGATATATATTTTTATGCGATCACTGAAACGATTCCAGAAACTTCTTATGGATATACACTTGACTGTTTTTTAATTGTAGAACACATTCACTGACACTTACAATGGTCTTCATGTTTGTTGTGTTTGTTTGTCGGAGAAGGCAATAGACAATGTTTTCTAACGGAGCCTTAACGGTATATATACGGATGGGTCACTATGCCGCCTACCACCTCTGGCTGATATTGCACCATTTGGCACGTCAGAATAAATTCGACAAAATATGTTTAAGTTAACTGTAGTCATGCATTTGCAATATGTCGACAGCGTCAATTATATTCGATTAACACCATAATTACTATTCGTACACAAACATGTTTAATTTAGTTGCTGCATATTTAATAATTTAAGTTCAAACATTTTCAAACATAAATTAATGCATACTTTAAATGTACATAAACTTAACATTTATTCTTATTAAAAGTTTGTGTCTTAAACAAATATTGTAATACCAATTATTATTTCATTTAGATAATGATGATGTATCGGCTAAATCATTTTTAATAATTATTTTAATCCACACTACAGATGTTCGTACAGATGTTACATACTACATATTAAGATTCGTTTATCTGTGATGATTTATTTATTTTTTATGGTAGCCTAACGTAATTTAATTGATGAGCGAACGGATACCGTATGACTACTTTGAGGTATTTTTTTGTAAAGTTTATGTTCAAAATAAGAATTTAACTTGGAGAAAGATAACTTGTAGCTAGCTAGTAGTTAATTAGGACTTACATTAGATCAGCAAAAGGCTTAAACTCCATCTGAATCAATTTGAGACATTTGACTTTGTAAGTTTTTTGTTCTATAATGAACATACTAATATCTAAAACATTATTAACTATTTTGTCAAATATCAAAGTAACATTATTTTTCTAATAAGTATAAATCAATCATACATATATTTATCACAAAAAATATGTTGTACAAAAGACTGACCATTTTTTTCCTGTTAGCCGTTGGGCAATAATTTGAATAAACAATATGTTAGATATTTTTATCTTATATTTTAGCATATGTAGTAAATAAGTGGTTACAAGAAACACTTATAATAATTATTTAATAAAACTAAAAGCTGATTTGATAAAAAAAAGAAAAATTTTTGCTAATACGACAAAAAATATAGGAAAGAAAAATACGGGATTTTTTTTGTTTTCTTCAATGACATAAATGTGTAATCTGAATAATTTAGAAAAAGGCTTCCAATAATCAATAATGATAATCAAAGCAGGAAAAATTCTAATGTTAGTTTGCAATGAATAAGCTCCAAAACTACTAAACGCATTATAAAGACTCCTTCATTTACGAGAAACTATGTCAAACGTGGGCGAAGTCAACGTAAAACAGCTAATTTTGATCAAAAAACGTAAGTGATTATCCAATTTCGATCAAATTTTTATGTGACTATCTGTCTCAAAAGCTATCGAATAAAAATAATAAAGTATAAAATTATATTGAAAATCAGTCTACTATTCCCGAAATAATCGGTTAACTTAAACCACGAACATAAGCCGCCCTTTTGATTTCTAGGTTGGTTAAAAAATTTGAGATTTTTCTAAGAAGTAGTAACCAATATATCATACCTATAATAGAAACTCTTGTTAGAATAAAATTACTTAGCACATTTATGTCAATATCTAACAATTTTAGCATACAAAATCTTAATTCTCCTTTAAAAACTCAATTATTAAATACTTATTAAACGCATTTATCAACTAATCATATTTTCAATCGCGTTTTGAATAAATTTTGTGGTAATTTATTGAGTCATCCTATCATCGAAACATTATTTAACCTTGTAACTGCCAAATCATTTGTCTTTATTCTTAACGGCTTTAAATCCGGGGATAAAATTATGAGCTAGTGGATTTTTCTACGTGTTCGATCGATGGGTATCTATATAATATTTAAAAATATTTAAAATATTTACAAGATATTTCTTAAACATAATAAAAGACAATAGTTTTACGAGTGAACCGGTTCAGTCAGGTTATATGATTAAATTTATATTATATTTACTGGCTAATCAATGAATGTTTTATAGACAAATAATATCATTAATAATATTTTTACTTCAATTTTTGTTGACTGAATATATTATATATACAAATATTAATATGATTAATATAAAATTAAAATAACATTAACTGAAGCAAAGCAAAACTGCTCCCTTACTCTCGAACGCAATCTCAACCGATCGACATTGCAATTGCGGCGTTTTGTATTCTTGATTGGTTACACTATAGCTAGAGCATGCTAGTAAACCAATCAAATGTGTCAATCGGTAATCGGTAAATACAATGTCAATCGGTTGCGATTGCGTTCGAGAGTAAGGAGGTTGAACTATGACATATAGTATTCAAAAAGCTTTTGCATCAGAGATATTAACATCAAGAAGCAGATTATCCCTCGAAAGGAGAGAAGACAAATAGAAAGTTATATTTCATAAGTAGACAGAATTTAGTATGTCTTTAAACAAAATTTGATGAATTTCAAACTAGACGTTCAAGTTCAGACATATTTTTATATGAACTATTTTTCAATAAGTTATCCAATTTTGTAAGAAGGTCGTTATCACGATAATGATATTCAACGGTCTTTCTTTCGTATACTCAAGGCACTACCATTATACTCGTTCAGATAAATTCGTTATTTTAAATATCAAACGTTTATTATACTTTATCTAGAGAAAAGGAAAAAAAAACTTAATAAATATGAATATTTATTTTTACAGACATTTTTAGTTTGGCTATTCAAAGAGGAAACGCTCGCAGCCTTCTGGGTACCTTATCTGTTGGTAATGATCTGGGAGATATTTTTTATTTAGTATAGTTATTATTATAAGACATAGTTAAGATAAGTAGTTTTAATTACTATTTTTATATTATTTCAACACTTTTCTCAACTATTTTAAAATGCAAATGCAACAATATCATTTGTCCAAAAAATACTTAAGATGGTTTTATGGTATTTCTTTACAATAATCTATCTGATACAATCATTCAATATAATGATAATCAATCACTTATAATAATTGACGATGACTTGTTTATTGAAATAATGATACTTGCACTTATGCTGCCGTCGCAAGCTATATTTTGCTAACATTACTCATGCATGTCTAAAAAATCTATATATAATTTACAGGTTGCTGCATTCTGCTGTAGCAATCACACATGATGTAATTTAATATAATAAAAGAATACTAAATAAGACAAATAAATTTAATCTTGTATAAAAAGTAAAAATGACTTCAATTTGAATGATTTTTATAGTCCAATATTGGACCTATTGGGAACTCTGTGCTGGTGGAGGAGCAGTAGCGATATAAGCGAGGGCGCGTTGGATGGCTTCGGGCACCGGAGGAGCCGTGGGAAGATGAGCACCCTGAGGCTGGAATCCATTTTCATCAGCGGTGTAAGTCAGCTGGATGTTGCCGTTTTCTCCAGGATACTGGAACTGTCCTTGGACTTCCAAAGCCTCGACATCGCCAACCTTCTTTAAATCGCCTTTTTGATCTGCGCTAATTCCATTGCCAGTCTCGAACGAATACTGGTAAGATCCGTCCCCGTTGACTTGACTATCCTGTTTCACAATGGGGATAGGCTCCGATGGAGCTTGAGGAGCAGCGAATGCCACAGCGACCAGAACAGACACCAACACCTGTAAATTTCACATTATATAATCTAGCGTGGCAACAACAAAATACACCAATAAATTTGTATAATTTACAGATCAAATTTTAAATTAAAATCATTTGCACAAAAATTAACATTTTCATCTAACAGTAGGTCAGACGAGTCGTGTGTTCACTGAACTCTTTAAATATCACTGTCAAGTTTAGTCCGCCTCAATGATGCCAAGTGACACTTACGATAGATTTCATTGTTGTGAAGTTGACTGATGGATAATCCACTAAAGACTGTAGGTGTCGACTGATAGTGGTAAATCCTGACAGTTACAATATTTATACTTAACTTCAAATGTCCACCTCCCTAATTTCACAAATGCGATTTCGTAAAGTCAATCAGATAAGTAAACAGTAGACAGAATGTATGTATATGCATTACCTCGAACTGTATATGTCAACTAGGCGCCACGTAACGTCTGTTAATAACTCCAAAGGAACTTCTCTATCTTCATTATTGGCTTTATTGTTAATACTTAATTCACATCAAAGTTTACAAAGCTCAGCTATAACTTTGATTTATATAAAAATATTAAAGCAATAAATTTTCCTGCTACTAAGAATTTGAAATTGAAATAATACTATTATTCATATTTCATCTTTTCGACTTGTCAACGAACCCATTAATAATTTTGGGTTATTTGTTTTTGACTTCTCAATATTTCGGTATTTAAGAATAATTTTGTTTTATTCATCATCAGCCCTTTTACGTCCCCACTACAAGCCTTCATTTTGGACGGTTAAGGAGAATGGGCCATGACATTCCGCGCTCGCTCATTGCAGATTGGAGGGTATTAACATCTGTAAATACAGCCGGGACCAACATGCCTTCTGAAGTTCGGGGTAGCTCGAGATAATAACTTTTGATCACTCATCCCGTGACCGGCCCTAGCGAAAGATGCTTGACAACAACGATCGTAAGCCGCAGCGTTTGATCATTACGCCACCGAGAAACTTTTTTGTGTAGTTTTAGAATCAGAATATTAATTAGACCGGCTGGATATGGAGCTGTCCCTTCTGGAACCCTGGCCCTCCCCCTGTACAGGAACGTAGAATGTGGATGGAGACTCCCTCACAATTTACAACCCATCAAGCGGTATGAACATTGCATAATGCGTTCCAACTACTACACAAAAAAAAGATATAAATCGGATGCCAATAAAATTTTAGTAGCCACGTAATTTTCAAATTATTATTTTTTTTACCACATTGAATACAATCAATGTTATCTCGATATACGATTTTATGAAAATTCATTAACTTATTTGTAGCTATAACTGTTACTTGACTCATAGGTGCACTACATCAGTTACGACTCTATCATCTTTGATTGATGTGAATAATGAAGCCATAATAGTTACCAATCAGTACACAGGCACAGAATTTTATAAGATCTGATTTAGATTTTCGTGTATGATATATTTCTTGGTGCAATAAAACTATTTTTATTTATTTATAAACCAACAAGTTTTGCATTAACTTATTTACATAAACTACATATTTAAAGTAATTATCATAAATAAAATTATAAATAATTCACAGTCAAAGTTATCTAATAGAAAAATAATTTTATGCAAATTGCAGAAACTCAGTCGAGATTATATGTAAGTTACACGTCATTTCAAATAAAATTAAAAAATAAGTAAAAAAATAGATTTGATTAAAAATATTGATGTCAGTGTCATTGAGATTTAATTATCGCTAATGAATAATTAATAATTATATGCCATTGCTTCAAAATTCGATTAAATTTGACATCAGGCGAAAACATAAATAAACAAATATTACATAAAAAAAAATTGTAATAACAAAATTAAAGTTAAAACATGATGTCAAGTAACTGCTTAATATTTAACTTAAATATAATCAAAGTATTGGAGAAAATTTCAAAGTCAACAAAAGAATGGTTAGAGACTGGAATTTTACTTTTGGATTTGAGTGAATAATTGCCTATGACACTTTTGTACAAATTATTGTAAGCTATTAGTAATCTATTCATCGGCGAGTAGCGACACTGATGTGACCTTTAAAATCTTTCTACAAATGGTATGTATTCAGAAAATCTTGGAAGAAGCTCGAATATTTATTTTACGTAATAAATCAGGTGTATCAGAGACACTATTCAGCACCTTGAATAAAATATAAGATCCAATAAACATCTGCGGTTGTCCAGTGAAGGTAGTTTAAAATTACTAAGTCTATTTATTATATATATATTTTGGTAACTTTCTGGCCATGTTGCACCCGTATGAAAGATGCCACAAAAATAGTTTTTGAACTCGTTCGATTCTCTTTATGTAAATGTCGTAGTTGGGATTCCATATAGCAATTGAATACTCTAAATTATTCTTTCTTATACCTTTTTTCACAGCAGAAATACAATTCAAATGTTCAAGTATTTCACAACACCACTTGCTAACACCAAAAAAACCTAATATCCTCGACCGAACTAATCATCGTTAAGTTTTTATAAAATATAATAACAAAATAAGATACAACTTTGATTTGATAATTAAGGTCTTTACATTAACCTTCACCCAAATATGTTTGTTTGTATAAGCAAGTTATCTATGGTATACGTCTTAAAGTAAGTCATACGTTTCTAGAGCAAGTTCACTGAACTTAAACTTCACCTAGTTTGTACTTGAAATGTTAAATAGCCGTGTAGGTCAGCTTATATATTATGTAAGGTATTTAAGGTAAGACGTTTCGACAAATGATCGAAAATTACACTCACGAGGCCTTTAAAAATACACCATAATTTATTAAACGCATTTATTTCATCAATAAACATATCTTTAGTATATTCCCTATAATAATAAATGTTGTTACATCAGATTGTCCTTATCGATGCTCCGCAAAATATTGTTTTGGGCCACAAAAATGATCGAAATTCAAGTAAAATAAATCTATACATAATATAAAAAATAATCGCTTCCGCTATCGCTGTTTGTACGTATCTATTGAACTACACAAATAAATTTAAAGCGATTTTTATCAATATAAAAAGTGATTCAAGAAAAAGGTTAGTAATGTTTAATTCTAATATTACTCGTGAAAAGAGGTTTTCTTTTATTTAGGAATCCGTATAAATATTTGGAAATATTTCGTGTCCTGGTCTGAAACTCCTGGTCTATATCAATTAGCTGTTATATTTTTCATATCTTTCGCCTAGGCGCAGTTCTAAAATAATAGACGAAGTAAAAAGAGTAGTAGGTCATTCTATACAAAACTTACTCTCCATTTGATTTTAATAAACCCATTAAGGCATTGTTTAAAATCAACTGCGGCAAAAAGACATTGTGGTAATCTGACGTGCTGTTGGGTGTACATAACAATGATCAATCATATGATCACTTCTTAGCTCTTAAATCATAGATTCGAATGTAATATAAACTGTTATGTGAACATTCGGGCAAATATGATTTCAGATGAAGATAACGCCAGTTTTATCTTGAAGATCAGTGTCTATGCTAATCGATCAGATAGTTTATTTCACTTTTATAAAAAAAAAATTGAATAAAAACTATTTATTCTAAGTTTTATCAGGCAGTAATGATACGATAATATTTATGGAATCAATGTCATCCGAATATTAATAAGTCCCTATAGTCACTCGCATATGTTATAGTTTTCAAAATTGGTCCAATAGTTTTAATGCTATATCTTTATAAATCTTTCATCTTTTATTATTAGTATAGAAGAGCTGTTTCCCCGCGATTTCGATTGCGTAAATTATTGCCTATGTCACCCGCATATGATGTAGCTTCCATCTCTTGCATCTTACATCTCTTCTTTATACTTTTAGTATATAAAATGATGCCATGTACATTGTCGTTTATTACACTTTTGCGCGCCTTGTCATTAATTAATTATACTTAATTTAATCGTATTTGTCCATAATGTGATAATCAGATATCTGAATCATAAATTATATCAAATCGGTGTTCATTTCATGTGACACAATCGTCTTGTTATATCCAGATATAGACGCCTACTTTGTGTAGCCCATCGATCGCTTTAGCGATTATGCAATTTAATAGACATCTCTTTGAATAGATATTCAGACAACAAAGGATTTCTCTTGTGTGTGTTATGTAAATCTCCTTTACTCAGCTAAATGTCTTCAGGCATATTTTGGTATTGCTGCATTATTTGTTAGGAGTGGCATATCATAGAGTAGGTATATATGGGTATGATAATATGTTGATATGATGAAGTCACCCGACATTTAACTTTTGCTCATTTGCAAAGTCAATGTTTTTCACGGAAACTTATATTAATTATTGACATTTTCAAAGTTAACTATCAACATATTTATGTATTAGAGTATTAAATTACCAATAGAAAAATAAAATTTACTTTTTATAGTCCGCGGATGTTTTTATATAAGATCAAAACCAAATCCAGAAGTAAAACTGATATATGATAATAAATGTGTAAGTTAATGGCTTACATAAAATATTCAATTCTTATGCAATATTAGAGATAATGTTTGAAGCATGCTTACGCATTCGTATACATGTTAATGCTGAAATTAATCGTATGCATTTGTGAGGTCCATTCATGTCTGACTACTAAAAGAAGCTAGAACTGACCTACAGAGTATCTCGAGTGAAAGCAACAAATCACGTAGCTAAAGCTTATTAGAATTACAAAAAAAACTTCAAATTGTTTCAAGGTTCTATCGATTCACTTTTGATAAAGTGCTTACTTTAAACTCAGACATATTGTTATTTTTATAGGATTTAGGTATATCTTGCTACATAATCACTTAAAAAGAATAAAAAACTTTACATTCGTCTAGATATTGGATTCAATGAACTCAATCATTTATATTTTCACACATAATACTAAAAATGCGCAAACGTTTCAAAAGTATTTATTTAACTATTATTTATCACAAATTTAAAATTATTTAGTATAATAATTATTATCAAAGCTGCGGATAAAACTAAACTAGATAAAAAATATCCACTAAATCTTTACAACAGGTAAGGTTCCCAGAAGACTGCGGGCGGTTCCACTTTCAACAGCCAGACTAATTCTTTGGGCAAGGTGCAAACCAACCTTCCGATCAACAGACCTCTCAAAAAGTTTTTTATTTATATTCTTGATGTATCCATGCCATCGTGCTCCAGAGCCCCACGGAAACATCGTTACTACCCCAAAGGGCTCAAATTTATAGGTATTCCTTAGACCTGAATAGTTTCGCTGTTATTTTATAGACTTCAAGATTATCAGAAGAAAATTGAATTTTTGATCTATTGATACATCATTGACTTCAATCTTTAATTACAAAGCTTCTTTAAAATTATTTTAAGATAAATTAATAATAAGATAAATGGATACAGTAGTCTTTGTAACCATTGCATTTTTCAACCGACAATTATCGATATAGATTTGGGAATGCTAATTTTAGACTTAATTTTGCATATCTATGCATTAATTTTCAATTCACTCTTACTTAATTAGATTTATTATACTTTGTTCGATATTTTTTTACATTTAATGTTACTGATAGATTGCCTAAACTAACTTTCATGTCTACTTAAGGAAATAAAAATATGATGCTAATTTACATTTAGCAATTGATTTGGAGACAATCAGTCGAGCAACATTTATGAAGATTTTGATATGTATTTATTTGATGAATTATGTCAGTTTTCAACATGCAAGTTTTTTGTTGATAAATATTATTAAAAACTAGCTATGTGCGTGACTTAGCCTATTTACAGCGCTCCTTAGTATTACTCCTTATTACATCAGCAGCCTGTGAATGTCACATCAATATCAGTCCAGCGATTCTTAAAATTAGCCGGAACCAACAAACAGATTATGTGTACCGTTTATGTAATACATACATATGCATTTCGTAAACAGCGGTTATTGTTATTTCAATATTTCAAAGAGAAAGTCTAATTTAATTTATTTGTATCTCTGCATACATAGAATATATTGACTCGTTATTATTTAGTTACATATAAATATAAGCTACTTTTAAAATAGTAAATTACATATGTCTTAGAGGTGTTTGGTAATATAAGGCCATTTTTATTTGCTGGTAAACCAGGTATGTAAATATGCATAAATAATCGCAAACTTAACACGCAAGTTACGCCAATACTAGACATACAAAACTGTTACGAAATATAATAATCGAATTAAGAATATAAAACATTTACTCAAAAAAAAAGTGCAAAAGTGAAGGGGTAGTGGCTAGAAGATCCATTTAGTTAGCGTTGGTTAATCAAAAAAAAATGCTTTTGATCCTGGCATTCATTCTGGATTATGGTCGCCCAATATAATTATATCTATAAGTCGGATAAATTCAGAATATGGTAATGGTCACTTTGTATATCTTTCTGTGCTTGTATTTGTTATTGCTTATGGCCTTAATTATGCTAACAACTAAATTAGATGAATTGCATTGCTTCGAAGTGCTTCATTTCAAAGACTCGTATAATTTAGAAGCGTAAGATTTCATAAAGCAATCAATTCAAAAAAGATATATTGCGGTTTGTAATATATTTTTTATACTTATTAAAAAACGGGAGTAAATTATTTCGTATTAAATAAGCTTATTGAAAAATAAAACTGGGTAGTCCCAATATTTTGAAGACTTCTTTGGCCGAGTGGCTCCTTCGCCAGTAACAAGGCGTCGCACTCTCTCGTCGGTTCGATTCTCGGTCAAGTCAATGAAGAAATTTTTCTATGTTATCTCGTGTCTTTGTGTTGCGTTGCCTTCGTTGTTTTAAACCAAAAACAAATGCTTTAGCTCCTTTTGTGATCTGAGCAACATAGTGATAAAGTCTAAATTTACCTATTAAATTAATTATCTCCGTTTATTTCACATGTGGAAAATGACTATGAAGTTTAACGCCGTCGATGCGATGGCCGCACGACCTTGACACGGCTCAGCGAAAGTGTACCGACTGGTTGTTGAGCAACCGGGGTCGACTCACATCTGGTGGAGATCCATTGACTCCTTTGTGCGCATTTCTGATCGCTTAAGTGATTCCCATAGAAATTTATTACTACTATTGAGGGAGAGAGAATTCGATTCAGATTAGCGTTGCATAACATTTCACAAAATCTGAGACTAAATACATAATATAATAAATGCATAAATAACAGACAACAAAAACACACATTGGTGAAAACCCCAAAGAAGGTGTCATCTTGGAACCGGTAAGATTCAATGCCAATGGAAAGCATATTTTGCGTATCAAACGAATTTTTTACATAAACGAAATCAAGTTAGCTATTAGTTGCTCGTGTAATAGATTAAATTAATTGTTTTCAATAACCAATATGATGTTCACAATACAATCATTATTATGATTGTATGCATATGAGATGTGGCATCATAATTTAAGAGATTGCCTAAAGCAAATTTAAATATAATATAAGTAGCAAACAAAATTAAATGTTTAATCAGATATTTTTTCATAATATTTTAAGTAGACGGTAGAGGCACTTATAGCAAGCAAGTTTTATTAGAGGAAAATTTATTTTCATGCATTTCACTAAGTCAATTTGTAATCTAATTATATAAAATAATAATATCACGTTACAAATACTTTACTGTCATTGTTATAGGTTACGTATTATTTACTGAATTATTTTTATAAATAAGACAAGAGAGAGAAATGTTATATTTAATTTCTAGCTGCAGAGGTACTGTGGTAAACTTATCTTCACTGAGATAATAAGGAAAAATATTTGATTGTCTGTTTGCATTGAAAATATTGGAACAATTTTTAAAATACTTTTACCTACGGTTAGGCGCATTATATGTGGATGACATAGACTATAATTTAGCTAGCGTATTATAATTCTCTACTAATAATTATTAAAAACATTTTAAATGCTTTTTGCAAATTATAAATTCACACACATCGGATTTCAATTGACCTTTTTAATAGAAAAAAGTATTTAATATATGTATGTATTAACTATGTGATATCTGAGAATCGTCAACATTTCTTAAATTGCATAAATGGACTAATATACTTTAATTCATGTAATTTTATTAAACTCATATCGAAACGCTATACTCAGGTGCAATTAACTTGACAGCCGAATCAACAATCACTATCATTGTCTGATCGACGATAATTAAATACAATACATTTGGCTTGTTAACAAAATATTAATCATTATGTTTAATTATATATCTCAGATTTTAGGTCAAGGGGGCAACACATTGTAGGCATTTTTCGAATAAGTGTAACCTAATAAAGAAAAGCATTTTGAAATAAAAAATAGACGACTTTATTCGGAATACACTGTTATAAGTTACAATAATATTTTTAAAAAAATAAACAAATTATAATCTTATTACAAATAACAAAAGTTTATTTATACAGTAACATAATAACTTATTATCACACGGTTAAAAACAATTATGTAGTCCCTTGACGCTTTCTAGAATATAACATAGCGGTGTTTCAAGAGTGACTATTGTAATATAAGCCAAAATCTCTATGTTTAGCGTCATTGGTTGGTTCATTGCTTGGAGGCACAGTAGCCAGATACTCTAGTGCCTTCTGAATTTCCGGTGGGATTGGAGGTGGAGTTGGGAGGTGGGCACCTTGTGGCTGAAATCCGTTCTCATCGGCTAAATACTGAAGCTGGATTACCTAAAACATAAAAAAAAATTATTAAGTACTATTGAAAAATCAAAACTCGATGTCAAGCACAATGCTTCAATCAAAAAAGAAAAATGGCTCAATCAAAAAATATACTTTATTGATTAACCTTTTTTTATGTAATTGAACCGGATCGTTTTATTTAATTGAACCTCTATGCTGAGACAAGTTTGAAACTGTTTTTTTTTTTTTTTAAGAATAACATGGTATATCTCTTACTAGGTAGACAACTAGAAACGAGCGCCACAAGGCATTACTTATGAAAGTCTTTCACTTTTGTTGGGGATTTATTTATAATTATCTTCATTTTACTATCTCAGTATACATACATAAGCCTACATAATATTTCTATTACGCGAAAATGTTTACGCATATCGACTGTATTAAGAAAAGGTTATTTTCAACATTAAACAAAAATTATTGACTGCCTCCGCAGCCGAATGCTTTGCGCGCTGCTTTCAAGGTGCCGCCATCTCTGAGGTCTTGAATTCGAATCAGAAGTCAGTGTAAAAATTATCATTTCTATATTTTTTCTACTTTTCTATATTATATAACAAAAACTGTGGTAGCTGCGAAGCGCACACTTCACATTCGTATCACATACTAATAGGTAATTTAATGTAATCGTAGGATAACTTTGAAATCCCACAACACAATATTCTCATTATATAGTTACAGTTTGTGTACGTTTCAAATTTGAGTTTACGTAACTTTTGGTGTGTATAAACACTGTGTATATTTTTAATTACGTTATTTTTACATACATGAACATCGTAATAAAAAACACCCACTGAAAACATGATAAATCATTCCATAAGACCATTTATGAAAATCAACGTTAAATTGTCATTGACAATAGTTTATGGCACACTTTTTCTATAAAAGAACCAAGTTATATTTATGTTATTGGCGATATTATGGTATAAGACGTGTGGGTGTCAGTTATGAAAGGTCTTACAACAGCACAGTATAATCCTACATCGATAATTACTTGACATTGCGACGGAGCGACCGCTAACGGTGCCGCTAATTAAGGTTTTTTGAGAAATGCGAAACTTCTTTATATATTTTAAGATTTTAACTATTTACATTATTATTATCATAGAGGAAAGAAACATAATATGGAATATAATACCTAATATTGAAATTCCTTCTTTAATTATTCTTGATAAAACAATTAGTAAATTTATAATTTGTCAATAAATCTCTAAAGTTTACGCTCGCTTTACGGATTCGCATGGCTTGTTTTTAAAATGCATTCAAATTTATATCTTACTAATATTATAAAGGTGAATGGTTGTAAGTTTGGGTGTTTGTTACGTCTTCACGCAAAAACTACTGAACGAGTTTGAATTAACATATAAGTTATTATTTATCCCACTAAACAGTTACACCTAAGGACCATGCGGACAAAGCCGCTGGCGAAAAGCTAGTAAAAATAATTAAGACAGTCACGTCAGTATTTCTGTCTAAGTTTAGTATTCCATGTTCGGTAACTTTCCTATAATAATTATTATTAAATTAACATGAGCTATCCTACATAGTAGTACATAGTAATACAACTCGAATTGAGTTCGTCGTTACATATGGCTCTATATATTGGGTGAGTTGTTCCGTGTTCATGTAATGACGTCTTATACTACGTTTTTTTTCGTACTTATCCATTTCTGTTGGTTAGGAAGTGAGCAAAAGTTCTATTCATTTAGATAGGTTCATATTATTATGTCATAATTAGTAAAAGTATTAATTTCAATTTGGTACACACATATAAGTTGATGACCTAAAGGCAGCAGTACAACCTAAGTAAATGAAAATGGAGAAATTTTGAATGAATGAAAATTTTGAAGGATCAATAAGAAAATTAAAAAAAATCTCAAACTAACAAACAAAAAAAACTGTGTAATATGAGGCATATAAATTCACAAGGCATAATAAAAATCAAAAAATATATATTATGATAATCAGTTTTGAAATTAATCAAGAAAATAGACGAAAAATTACAACTGCATGATCTTAAAAACTTCAAAGCCAAAATACTCAAATTCTGAAAAATAATCTTTTAAGTTTACCTTTGTAGTTATGAAAAACTATGATTTGGATCTCTCTGTCTATTTTAATTTTTTACCCAAGGGAAGAAAATATATACTTTTTGATTTATTAAAAATAATAATAGAAATAGCTCTATACTAAAATTTACCTCTATCACATTATTTATTTGAAATGTGGTCAACATTTTTAACTAAAAACAAATTATGTATTTTTAAGTCACAAATACCTGTCCATCTGGTGCAGTATATTGATACTGCCCCTGTGCTGTTTGTGCCTCCTGCTCTGGTATTCCCTGGTTCTTCACATAGCCCTGTTCTTCTGCTGTTATGCCGTTGCCAGTCTCATAACTGAAAAAAATGTAGTGAATTAATGTGAAGCTTGAGTTAAGCTTGTTAAAAATTATCTCCATATTTTTTTTATAAAACGCGGTTTCCCACTCCTGCGCTTGTGGACCATTTACAAAAGGCGAATACTGCTACTGAAAGTCTAATAATCCAAGCCGTTATTGGCCTCTTGTTAATGGAGACAATCTCCGAGTCAGTAATCAAGACAGTTCAATGAAAAGAACGATCTCTAATTTTACTGAACTGGCTCATTATATCGTTTTAGCTATTACATGGCCTAATGTAAGATGGCGACTTAAAAACGAACCACTAAATTATACGTCTCAGGAACCCCTGAATTTGGTCTCCAGCATGTAAACACCGCACATTAGACGAGTACATCGCGAATTATTTTATTATCAAGTACACAGTGCCCATATTTACAGTCCAACTTTAATTTCATGACTGTTTTAGAATTCCGTAACCAAAAACTAAAATACTCTACTACCCGTCTGCCTATTTGGCTGTATATCAAACAAACAATGAAAAAAACATTATATTATTATTATGTACCAACGAATATTAAAAACAGAAAAAATTGGTATATTAAAAAGGGTTATGAGACCAATCAAAAAACGTGATATTTTGCATTTTTTTAGATAATGCTATGGAGACCTTCGTGCTCGGTTTTTTTATTATTTCTAATATATTATTGGATTTTTTGAAGTATCAAATTAATTTGATTAGAAAATTTATATTTTGTCTTAATTTTAAATTATAATATTTAAGCCACGTAACTTCAAATATAATGATATAATAATCTGAATTGTCAATTGTTTTCATAAAAGTGAACATATAAATACTTTGAATTATTGAACCAAAAACTAATGTCTTTCGCAAATAATTTGAATCATCGGGATTATTTCATTTATAAGAACTAACGTCTTCAGATGGGACAATTGATTTTCACACATATTTTCATGCAAAGATTGCATTGTGAGTATACAAATTAATCAGTAAACGATTTTACCGTACGAGAATTGTATTCTAGCAAATATTTCAGGCAAAGTTGTAATTCGAGTATCGGTCGACCAATGCGCCTACAAAAGACTTCAACGCGTCATTGACTAAGATCGTAACATTGCTCTAACTAAATAAGAACTCGTTTGACTGATACTTTTGATTGCTTGTTGACGAATGTAAGAAATAAGTATTTGCTATAACGATTCAATGTGAGTTAAAGCTTTTTTAAAATAATGCTGGAAACGCATTAGTAATTACAAAGCAAATTCAAGGTGGATATTTTAAATGGGATCGCTGTTGTTGATCACAGTTGCTGACTTAATTCTTTAAAGCGACAATATCGATACAAATTTAACATCATTAGAGCTCAAAGGTATCATTATACATTAATGTACGTTTATGCAACTAACCTTAAGACAAATAAATTATTATTATTATCATGTAACAGTTTTAGATTTAACTTCATCATAAAAATATGTTATACAGAAATATCCTATAGCTATTTAAGACGACTTTTTGAAACTTACACGTTAAAATACTTTGGGTATTTTGATTTTCAAAGACAAATATCTACTACTTGTTACCTAAATATCGATATCCACCAAATTTCTTTAATGGATTTTAAGGCTTGATTTTGTACTGTTAGATCCAAAATCGAATGTGAAGATTTGTCATTAGTACGAGGGTCAAACTGAAAGTTCTTAGAAAATCAAAAACTGATTACATTAGCCAGTTATTAGTTTTATTATATCTTTTCAAAATATTGTCCATTCACGTCAATACACCGCTGCATGCGATGGAACCACTGGGAAAAGCACTTTGCCCACTCGTCCTTAGGGGTCTCTTCAATGGCATCGCGATACGCAGCCACCGCTTCTTCAGCATTCATAAACCGCTTTCCTTTAAGTTTTTCTTTAATTTTTGGAAATAAATAAAAATCACAAGGCGCGAGGTCGGGGCTATACGGCGGGTGACCCAGTAATTCAACGTTTGATGTCGCCAAATAGTCGATCGTTCGCTTGGCGGTGTGCGACGAGGCGTTGTCGTGGTGAAGGAGGATCCTACTGCGAGGTCGTTTCTCTCGAACTTTTTCCAAGACAAGTGGCAAACAATTGGTAGTGTACCATTCTGCAGAAACTGTTTTTTGATCATCTAACACAATTGTTGCAAAATGACCTATCCTTCCAAAGAACGAGGCCACCATTTTTTTTCCCGCACTTCGATCTCTCTTCACTTTAGTTGGCAACTCCTCGAAAGGAAACACCCACTGAGCAGATTGTCTTTTGGTTTTAGGATCATAACAGTAAATCCAGCTTTCGTCACCTGTTAGTATGTCGAACACAGCATTTGAGTCACCTCCGTTAAATCTTTCAATCATTTTACGACACCAATCCACACGATGGAGTTTTTGAGCCTCAGTCAAATTATGAGGTATCCACCGGGCGCAAAGCTTCCTGACCGCTAAATGTTCGTGGAGGATTTTGTGCACTTGACTCATACCGATGCCTAAGCTTGTCCGAATCTGTTGATAGGTCACTCTTTTGTCAGTCTCTATCATACGCCGCACAACACAGATGTTATCTTCAGTCGTCGCCGTAGAAGGCCGTCCCTCACGTAAATCATCAGTGAGATTAGTGCGACCACGTTTAAACTCATTAAACCAGTTGTAAACAGTCGCACGAGATGGGGCTTCATCGTGAAAGGCCAATCGTAGTCTATCATAACTTTCTTGTTGACTTAAATGACATCGAAAGTCATAAAAAATCATTGCACGAAAATTTTCTCGTGTTAAATTCATGATGACGTGACACAGACAATTTTCAATTTGCCGCCAAATCGTAAAACAAATGACAAATGAATGAAATATATACTCAGTAATATTGGCAAAGAGTTATATTTTCAAATTTTAGAATTATTTTTTTATTATATTGTTTATAAGTGGCCAGTTCTAAGAACTTTCAGTTTGACCCTCGTATTAAGCTTAGGTGCTATTATAAGTACCTATTTAAATAATTATAATAAGTAGTTTATGATGGTACTTAATATTTGATTATGGACTTTAAACGGTTTTACACTTCAAGCACCTTTACTTTATCATTAATGATTTCTAATGTTTAATGCATTTAATATGACATTTACATTGTATTTATTTAGTTTGTATTTACATTTAATATGACAAAATAATTTTAAAATGAATTGTTTATAATGACTTATTTTCTCTACGAAAATAAAAAAAGGCTATATATATATATATTATTTTTTATGTTATTACCTCCATTTGTAAGAGCCGTCGGGATTAATGACCTGCTCCTGTCTGATGATAGGTATAGGCTCTGTGGTATATTGCTGCTGCTGTTGCTGCTCACGGATATGATACGGCTTGAAGCTGCTTACGTCGGCAGATGTTACGCTCAACAGCGCTGTTAAGACCAGCTGGAATAGATCTCACTGTTGAATACATATACACTATACATGACATTTAATAAAATCACTTATAGTACATGTGACTTATGTATAATGCCACTGGGTATGCAATTATATAAAAAGTTCATTAAAAATATACAATGTATCTAACACTAAATATTTTTCTTTCTCTTTCTATGTGTGTGTGTACTAAGATATCCTTATCATTGTTAAGAGGGCTTGCACACCCAGAATCATTAACTTTAAGCTGGTTTTGTACCGTCTTATTTACATCTAAATAAGCTATATTTGAAAATGATGGCTAATATATATAAGCTATATTTTTAAGGGTTATGGCACCACCCTGAGGGCTATTTATAACATTCTCTATAGTTAATAATCAAAAATTACCCCTAAGATTCACCTTAATTTCCATGTTTTGTTGTAAAATTGTAATTATATGAGTCACTTTAATTGAAATGAATTAAAAACCGTTTTTGTCGCGTAGTATGACATCCTCTGTCAATATCTCTACAAAGTATTTTGACTTTACGCCCAACATAATCAGAGTTTAATAAAAATATCATGCTTGTAAAAATGTATAGTATTGAGTGGTGAGCTTAAAGAAATATACCGATATAACAATATTTTGTTAGTTGGTAGACACATATTCAAACTTGAATCCGTTTTAAATTAATTCATACTACTATTACCAAAAATCGCGTGAGCGAGACACGAAAACGGCCTGTCAAGAATATAAATTACTAATTATCTAAAGAGGTTTTGCTAATAACTACTTCAGTCATAAAATAATCCACATTTTGGTAACAAAAAAAAATATTTTCTCTTCTAAAAAGTAACACCACACTAGGCAAATTTATATTACTATTAAAATGTTATTTCACAACAAAATTAAACTTAATGCCGTGAAACTTACAAGGTACTTCATTTTGTGAACACAGAGTACAAAAAAAGATGAAAGCACAAAAACTTGTGATTCTCTCAGACCCACCCTTCGTATTTATACGAAAAAGTTTTGTCGCAATTACACATCGTTGCAGGTTCTTGAGTATTTTATGATGCCCTCGACAAAGGACCGTGTGGGGAGTCCCTTATCGAGCTGCAGCATTGTAGCACAAAAGCTTCTCAAGCTACGACCGAAACAAAACCTTATTATACATATTATAACTTACAATTTCGTAAACAGTGAATAGTAAATTGTGATAAAAAGAAATTTTCGAATTACCATAGGATCTGTTAAAGATGACACTTTGAATATTATGAATTTTGACAGCACACCGCAGTAAGTCTAGTTGGAGGAAAATAAATGATATTTCGTCATCATTTAGTCATCTCATCTTGATTCAAGATTATAAATAAAAACTCATATTGCCTTGAACAACACATTAATGCAAATTTTGTTAAACACGGATAATATTTATATGTAATAAAAAAAACTATTTGACTAGACGTAGATAATAATATCTTAATACACGTGTATGCACATAATGGATATATAATTTGAATCTATTATATTTATCTCGGTCAAGTTTTCAACTGTCACTCTTATTTTTATTATATAGAATAATTTACTAAGTTATATGCTGCTGAAATTATATTAATATTTAAATTTTTGCAATGTATTTCTACCTCTACCCTAAAATATTAAGGTTTAAAATCGAGTGGGAAAATTTGACAGTATATCTGTCATATAATAGACTGTACAATATTTATGTTTGCTCTTCTATATATCGTTATCATTTCATGTTATGAAATATAAAATACTTAGTATATCATTTCTTTAGTCGTTTTAGATGACAAACTCATCATCTTTTAATAGGATTTTTTAATACAAAGACACAAGTTCAATCCAAGGAGTTGTGTCCTGCTAGAGACAAATACAAGATGAACAAGAGCAATAATATCATGCATTAAAGTTATTTACTTATCAATTCCCACTGGAACAAGCGTCTCTTGTGGCACTCAAAAGGAGGATTCAACCAAAAGGACTCACTCAAAAGGAGGACAGTTAAAAAATAATAATTTCAAAATAGTCATGTCGAGCAAAACGAAAGATATACAATTCCAGGGAAGTAATTGTACCACTACTAAACTGTACTAAACTTTAACGCGACAAAAATTACAAAGCCATAGATTTTCCTACTAAAATTGAGCCTAACATTGAGTTTAACATTGTTAAGATAATAACAACAGAAAAGACACAAAAAAGTATTAATTAGACCATAAAAATGAAAACCACTTAATATTAAACTAGATTAAACTAGTAATGGAACCACTATTCTCCATTTATGTTTTAATGTAAGATAAGTGATCACTTTTTAAATTAATAATAACTTCAAGTGTCAAAAATTGGAAAAAAGCACTTCATAGCCAATAAATATTACGTCTAAATTAACGATCAAATGTTTACTTTCTTATTTTGATACCATCATCTAAATCAAAAAGTTTTATGCCTGCATGTCCCTTATGACATCTATAATTACACAAAAAACATCACTGATATGGTCGGCATTATTGCTCACGGATCTCTATAAACCAGCTATGTGAGAATGACACACTTCAGCAAGGTTTTTTTAAAGAATTGATATTACCTCATCGAGACGCCCCGTACACAATAATTACTATTTATTAATCTCTAAATTTATTGATACTATACAAAATTACAAATTCGGCAACGGTGAATTTGTATTGTTATTTAACTGAACTTGAATTACATAAGACATAAATTTATTTCTGCACCATAAAGAGTGAAGTTTTATTGAATGAAATATACTTTACAATTTATTAAAATGGCACACATTAAAAATGTAATCCATAATAAATTCATTTTTAATACTACAGGTTTCGTGTAATTTTGCTATATTCAGTTTAAATTGTCTTAACACGACCTGTCAACGTCGCTGTCGTTTCACAGTTTTTAACTCAAATTCATCCATTACATAAAAGTGTAATTGAGATTCCATTTTATTTAAAGTCTTGTCGCGTATTTAAACAGAAGTCACTACCTCTGTTTTTGTGAGACTACTTGTGTTCGGTAACTTGTTCATCCTGTTACACACTTTATAATTATTTACTCTGCAACATGATTCACAAGTAATTATTTAAGTAGGTCGGATTTATGTAGCTTCGAGTTTACCTAGTAGAGGAAAGTTATCAAATATGGTAATATCTTTAATATATGTAGAATGCAAGTTTTCCGCCAGCGGCTTCACCCACGTGCTCTCAAGGGAACCATTTACCGGAAATTAATACTTAGGATAATAAGTCGCCTATTATCATTAATTTAGGTTTAAAATTATCCGTATAGCAAATTTCATAAAAATTCGTTCAGTAATTTTAGAGTAACAAATGTTTCCAAACCTACTAACATACTTGCAAATTTTCGCATTTATAAGTAAGACTGGAATCCTTATTAAATTGTTCGTTAGGTAAAAGTTTGTGCACCAGTAGCTGACTAAATAAAAAAGTAAGTATATTTCTGTAAGATAAATATTTTAATTCATATCTATACTAATAATAAAGCTAAAGAGTTTGTTTGTTTGGTTGAACTATATAATCACAGGAACTTCTCAAACGTATTGAATTATTATTGCTTACCATTCCACTTATCGAGAAAGGCCTAAGTCATAGCGTGATTTTAAAACCTATCTTAGATCATGCTATGACTTAAAGGAGTGGAGCAGCAATGAAAAATGTTACAAAACCGGAAGAATATTTTACTTTTTTAAATCTTATGCAATAATCATATGTCACTTAATGGATCCCCTTAAAAAGTTCTAGAAAATATCCACGGTGGCATATGTCTATCTTATATCTGATTTCGAAAAAGCCCATAAAAAAGTGAAAATGGAAGTGGCAGTTTGTATAGGGCATTAAATCGTTACCATGGTAACCATTATTTACAATTTATCATTTTAATTATTTTCCATGTCATCCTTTTCCAAGTTCATTATTAAAAAATTAAGCTGTTTACGCCAAATTGAATAATGTTTTGAATACGATAATTCAAGTCGCTACAATCGTTGTTGCTAGTAATTATATGTTGGTTAAGTAAACAAAAATATCACATGCAGCTGACGCTTGTGGTTACTGGATGACGCTACTGATCACTTGATGACGGTACTGTACTATTAAAACGGGGATTTATTAGGGAATCGTTTGATTGTTGAATTGGCGAAAAAATAAATAGTTACAATAAGCTGTTATCGCTAGATGACGCTTCTGTATTCTTTTGTTTTTCCAATTTTTATCAAACAAAGTCACTTTAATTTTTTATTTTGCGGTCTTGTCTTCTTATCTTAAATCTTATCTTCCATTAGAGTGATGAACACCTACTGTTGAATAGGTCTTTCAAAAATGTTTGGGGTCTTTCATAAATATAAGACCGTTTTTCGATACTGTTAAACTTTGGTAATTTATTAAGCTTCAGAGTGCCAATTTTTGTTAGAGTCAATAGTCCCCCCCCCCCCCCCTCTAACAAGTAACCGGTTGTTGTTATAAACTCAAACGTTACGGCTTTAGTATTTATATATAACGAATTTAATAGAAACTCCTTTGGAAACAACGAACGTGATGTTTGGCGTTTTTAGGAATAATGGTACGGGACCCTTCGTGTACGCGTCTGACTTGCGCCTATCTGCTTTTTTTGATAATAAATTTTAGTGAAGAATTATTCATCGGATGACAAAATAATATATGGGGTGATAAATTATGTTTGTTTTGTAATTTTTTTGATAAATGACAAAAAAAATAGTAGGAAACAGTTCTATCGAAAATACCAATTAAAATTCAAAGTCTCAGTGTTAAATAATAAATTGGACAAAACAATACTGAGCGGGTGAAACTGTATTTAATCGATACCATCAAATTGAAGAGATGGCAGAATATCCGTTGGCAAAATTTTATCTGGCGTCACGCACAAAAATCTTTGAAAATACTAAATTGAGAAAGCAAAAACAAGCTGCCCGCCAATTTACTATGAGGATCAGACATAACATCTTGGACAAGCGAAGCATGAGGCTGTTTTAAACCTTTAAAATGAAAGACAGAATAAGCAAAGTAGTCAAATATACTAGATAGAGGAGCAAAATAACGGCATAATTATTAAACGACTTCCATAAAAGGACTGTTCTATTCAAATAAGACATTAGTTTGTATTTTAAGTGTCGATTCTACTGCACTCTAAAATGAAAAGAAGAGCAACTGGACTATTCTGTAAAGACATGCGCGTTTATTTGCAAATGTAATATTTACTATTTTTATGTAGTAAATAAAAAAAACTATAGGTATATCTTCGAACAAGTTCTTAACGCACTCATTAGCGAACGCGTTAACTTAAAACTTACACCTATCACTCTGGTTATCTACCGTTTCAATAACGTTACTACTGAACTTAAATAATTAAAACCCATTTCAGTATGATAAAGGTAACATACATTTTTTATCCAGTCTTATTACGTAGCATATAACAAGTTGTTTCACCAGTGATCTACTGACTTGCTATACCAATCCAAGATTAGCACTTAAATCACCTATGAGCTTTTATTTGTAAACACACGATCACTGTGCAAGTTAATTAGTTAAGTAAATTGATTATAGGAATATTTTTGTTTTTTTTTTTAGACATGACAGTTCTATCAAAAGATTGTTCTGAACTTTTTTAGACGCAATTTTTGGAAGTATTAAAAAAAAACGAAAGCGCTAAAAAAGCACCTATACTAGATGGCGGCTCTAGCAAAAGTTGATTTTTGCAGGCAACGAATGGACTAAAGACAATAATTTCCGTTTCTTTTAACATATTAAAAAACTGAAATTTGAAGAGTTCGAAACTTATATATCAATAAAAATACGAAAAAGTACAAATAGAATATAAGTTGTTTATAGACTTATGAAAACTAATTTACTTTTAAACATGAAAGAAAACCGGAAGGGTTGTCATGGAGAAATCAAGAACGTACCGTAGCGACATCTTGTTTGATTTCAGGAACTAATGTTTTTTTTTAAATACTTCCTCATTAATTAAATCATGCCCTTGTATAGAAGAGTATATATCACATTTTTGCAGTGACTTGCATTTATTATCAGTGTAGCGTTAGCTTTATATTAGCGAAGCATTCCAGTGAACTTGGACTCTAAATCAATCTTTTACCGCACTGTATTCAATGCAATATGTCATCATGATGTTCAAAATCCACTATTTATCACGGCGGTGAATTGATTAATGAGACCCTGTAAACGATGTACTTGCGCAATATCGACGCATACGAAACCTCCACGCGAAAATAAATATTTTGCAGATGTGTAATAAACTGATATTTGAACGATTTTTATTATATAACCAATTAATAAATACATTTAATATACTTCGTTTAATTTTTTTAGTATGAAATCAACGTACTCTTTCTACTCTAGATATATTTAATCAACAAATTTATTAATCTTTCTTTCTTTTCATTCACTTTCTCTGTGAACTGTTTGTGAAAGCCAATAAAAATGTTTCTTTTTTGTTTCTTTTTTGTTTCAAGGTTTATGCAATTTCATGCATATTCAAATTAAGTACGATATGTTATGTATTATTTTATATATTGATGTTTAAAATGTAAAGATAATTTTATTCATTGCTATAGATCATTCGTTGTTAGATTATTATAAATTAAAAATTGATTATGTTTACTTTACGATAAGATTATATATTGTGTATAAATAAATAAATATCATCTGAGTGTAAAGGACATTATTATTTTCATTAAAAAAAAACTAATACTTAATAAAAATGCTGTTACACGTTCTTCGCCAATTTAATGATGCCACATCGTATTTACATTTATACATTCATCTTATTGCGTAAAACAATCAAAAGTAACTGTCGCTTATTCCTTTTTCGACTCATCTTTATTGACGGTGTTGAGAAAAGCAGGTTGAAATGGATTGTATCTGTTATATATTGGATTATATCTATTATCGTAACGATGTCTGGGGTCATATGGATATCTCGCGTCGTAAGGACGTCTATAATCGAAAGGGTATCTTGCGTCATAAGGTCGTCTCGGGTCATAAGGATACTTGGGGTCGTAAGGATACTTGGGGTCATAAGGATATTTAGGATCGAAAGGATACTTCGACTCATAGGGGTGTTTAGGATCGAATCCACGATACGCTCCAAAGCGATTGTATCTATTGTACTCAGGATCGAAAATGCTAATATTTCTTCCATTTACAAATGCTGGTAGTGGGGGTAGACTTTTCCCGTCAGCTGGAATGTGCACTCCAGATGGACGAAAACCTAAAACAATATAATTTATGTTAGTAAAACAACATATTAGTTAAACAGCGTTTTATCTATAATAAATCATATAAAACGCTTTTATTGGGGAAATCATTTGTATTAGGGAAATCATGCAGTAAACCCACAAAATAAAAGAAAATAACTTTTTAATTATAATTAAAATACAATATAGTATTCGAATTTGAACCTTGAGAAATTAATCTTAATTAAAAATGCAAAGTCTAAAAATTATTCAAGAAAAATTGACTGATTTTTTTTCACCTTTTGTCGACACATAAGACGTTTAGAGGATAACCAAATAAGTAAATGCACGCATCTTCACGAAGGGACGCCTTAACAACTACTCAATGTGCCAATAACCATGTTTGAAGTAAAAAGTATTCCAGAAATATTATTACGCTTATTAACTAATTTATATGTTTTTTTTATTATTATATTAGATATTTTACTACCATTCTCATCAGCAACGTAAGAGACTTGAATAGGGGTTCCCTCGGGAGATATGTAAGCATAGCTGCCTTGTACCACCTGGAATCAAAACATTAGGGAAAAATTTTATTGTGTGTATAAATTTTTACTGCGCCAAATTAAAACGCGCAATTTTGGTAAAAAGGCATTCAGAGACTATGCTTCAGGTCTAAATATTAGATCCTAAGATATATTTCAAAAACAAATTACAACAATCAAAGAATGCAATTTACTTAAATCTAACGAGAAATGGCTTAGAAGTTGAGGAGTGGGGGTGGTGGTGCTCTTTACGCCACGATTATGTAGAAAATGTATGTACAAAAGTGTGACGTCATGCGACATTTCATCTTAATGTATCGCCGTAATTTATTGATTACGCATAGAATAAAAAATACGTAATTTAAAATTCTTCATTAGTCTATCCGACGTACGGACAAAAAATAAAAAATCGGGATTAATGAAACAAATAGAGACAGAATTACGATTATTGTAAAATTTCTTAATCCCAACCCTTGGCTATAAAAAGTGACACACGTGTTTACCAATTTTCCATATGGAAAACTAAAATATTGAGTAAAAAAGTAAAATTACGTGAAGAAGAGGAGAAAATGGCTAATTGCAATGTAAGTTTTTTTTGTGTCGAAGAACATTTTCTGAATATATATATATATATATATATATATATATAACTTAAAATATTTGATTTTAACTTTTTATTTTAATAACAGCTTATTTCCCATTTAGTAAAAGAGTATGATTATGAAAGGAATTATCAAAGCAGTAAATTTCGGAGGATAATTTTGTATTTTTTTTTTTCTATTTGTACAAAACTTTGGAAATTCATATTTTATATCAAAATAGTACAATTACAAATATGTATGAATGTAATGTAGTACTCTCTTTTTTAATGACTATCTATTTGAAAGACCTCATATTTAAATCGATATAATGCAATCATTTTGTATTAATTACGCATCATCATATCAATTCATCGATCACTTCAAGGATATCATCATCATCACCATCCTTTCCTTGTGGGTGCTTAAGATGGATCAATTGATAAAATTACAAAGGCTACATTGTTACATAGGTTAAAATATAAAATATAACTAACGGTTCTACTTTCCGAAGCTCAAAGCAGCGAAAATCGAATAAATATGTTATATCACCCATATCGCATTAAACTTACCTCTATATATCGAATATTTTACTCTATACGAGATCATAAATACATAATTACCTGCGTTCCTTGAGGCTCGCCATTATTGTCAATATAGGCATCCTTCAAATAGCCAGCTTCTTGCACTTGCTTACCATCAGCAGTTGAGAAACTAAAATTAATATTATTTCAGTAATAGAAAATAAATAGATTCTTAAAAAGTAGTTATTCTATTAATTAAAGCAATTTGGCTCGGTTCAGTGTGATGCGATTTAAATTTTATTACGTCTGTGAAGCAGACCTCTATAATAGATGTTCACGCGTAAAATTGCCGTTTAGAAATACTGGCTAGCCAAAATATGTTTTTTTTATAGGATTCTTATAAAATAATGTAATCCTGTTTTTAAATTCTTATATCGATTTTGGTGTATTTGGTTATTAATACTTTTCAATATTTTTAGTTAGTATAATACTAATTAACTGTCATTATCAATCTATTGTTGTCCCCTATTGGGGCATAACCCTTATTATGGATAGAATCATATTGAGAGAACAGGCTATAATCCACCACGCAGCTCAGTTGTTATCGACTAAATTGATGAATGTTATCGACTGCAAAGGCAGCCGGATCTAACGACTTAACATACCGAACCACGGAGGAACTAGAGATAATAATTTTTTTGATAAGCATCGTATGACTCTCCACCACAAATGAACGCACTATCAATTTATTAGTGTAAATTTACTCCGTATGTGTCCGCAAACAATGTCAACAAATTAAATGCTATTAAAGAAGTTGGCAATACATAATGAGAGCTCTTATATTTTTAAGTAACTATATATTATGAGTAATTTACTAATATCGTGAACATTCACAGTACCATCATAACACGGTGTGCCCGAGCACTTTAATATCTTGATTATTAACCTACATTCGCACAATGACAATATCAATAAGCAAAAACGAGGTATTTTTTACTTTTGGCTACATCTTTCTTTGTTAAGTATAAACTTTAAAACGTAGGTTTCATAAAATTTACCTGTAAGAATAGGATCCATCAGGGCGATGATCGTCGGAATACGTGAGAATCGGAACAGCAGGTCCTGGTAGTGAGGGATTATATTTGTAATAGGGATTGTTCAGAGCAGGCGCGAAGGGGTTGGGTGCATAAGGGAACGGAGTTGGTCCCACTGTGGGTAAAACGTTCCCTGCTGCTGAGACATCGTCTCTCACTGTTGATACAGATCCACTGACAGTGGGGACTACGTTTGCCTCATCTGTGCTCTGGTCAGCGGGCCGCGCCTGACTCACTGCCAACCAAAAGGCTAGCAGGCTCACTAATAAACGCATCATCTAAAATATAAAAAAAAGTTCAACTTACAATCTATACCTCTAAATCAACAAAGTCTCATCACGCTGAGATCTTTAAAAACAAACAACGGATCTTAATGCGGTTTATGGTAATAAAATGTATGAGCATAATGTAACAAAAAAAATATCTTTTAATTATGATGTTATCTGCCAATTTTTGAGATTATCTCATAAATTATTGTTAACATGACTAATTAAATTGCATGTTCTATTGTTACATCACTATTCCGTAAAAACCACCTGCTAATAATCAAAGTTAATTGACCCACTATAAAGACTATTCAATGCAAATTGCATGATTTTTGGGGTTTATAATTATGATTTATTGACTACTTTATAAATGTAGAACATTAACTTGATTCTTTACTCGCATATATAAGTTTCTATGTAATTAAATCACGCAAATAATTCGATAATATTATATTATTTGATAAATTGGCTATTATTTGATAAGTGGCCCTTTTAAATTTCGCTAAAATTCATGTCCCTACTATGAATATTAATTAATAATGTCGTTAAGTACCAATATCAATCGAATATTAATAATGGCTCTTCTATAAGCATTCGATAAATAAATGCTTCCTGGACCACTAATGCTTTCCTATTTTGTAAAAACACAGCGTGAAACGTAGAGACAAATACAGAGAGCTGCCACAATATCAGAGGTATAATTAAATAAAACTTTTATTACCGAAAGCGCTGCGGTTGAAGCTACATTCGACACTGTATTTCTAACATAATAACAATCAACAATTGCACAAAGATTAGTATTTTATCGATTGTCTATTAACTTTTTTGTGTGCATATCTAATCATATTTTATTTTTCTTTTGTTCTTACTTCTCCCTCTAAACATATTATATTGACCGCCTTTATAAAGCAGTAGCTGTTACCGCGACTTTGCTTGTGTAAATTATAGCCTAGCCGCTTATGATGAAGTTTCCTGTACACAGGTGAAAGACTTTTTAAAACCAGTCTAGTAGTTATGGAGCCTAATACAAGCAAACAAAAAAATACAATACAGATAATTCTCTTTTTTAAAATATTCTTGCCAACTTTTTTAATTTCTATTTTTTATGTCACTAAAACCTTTCCAAAAAATCAAATACGAGAATATCAAAACCTACCTAATTAGTCCAAACACTAAATTATAGCTGTAAGTAAATTATTTTTCTATAGGCTTTAAATTGTATTGTTATTTGTCTATCATGACTTTAATTGGCTTCTACATTATAGTATTTAGACTAATATGTCGGCTTCTACACTAGGTACTTATTAAAATTTATCATTAAAAACCATTTCACTTCTTCCATAATCACTTAGATATTCTCTACATGAAGAATGAAATGCACAAATTTATTCATATTAATCTTAAAATGCCATTCTTCAATTGTATTGAAAATATTTAGGTGACCACAAAATTTTCTAAAACAGATTTTACAAACTACTTATGATTACCTCAAGTTTGGGTTTGCTCACAACCGACTGTTCTCGATGTACACAAACTGCTACTGTTAGCGTGAGATCTGAATATTCCATTTATAGTAAGCAGGGTTGCTTTGTGCGGATATTTTTTTTTGTTGAACCACCATTCAAACGTGAGCCACGTACACGTCCCTTCTACCCACCACTAGCTATTAACCGAGTTATAGATATACGAATATTGTAGCTCACGAACACGATGATGATATGGGAACATTTACCAATTTCGACCCAAAATTACTGTAAATGCTACAACTGTTACATAGTTTCACTCAATTATGTTGCAGAAATATTGACAGCACAGGTGGTCTTTACCGCCACGATATTGTTAAGCGAAATTGTTTTGTGCCTTTACCGGTACGTGTGTTTTCTTCAATTTGGCCTAATGTGCTGACAGCTTCTCATTATTTTCTGTTTTATTACCGATGATAAATATGTCGATGACATTAAAGGCACCATTCATTATTGTATCGACATTTTATACTCTAATTTAGACGAAATAGGACAATAGATTCCAATCTGCACTGTAATTGAAATACAAACGACTATGAAAAACAAAATTATTTAGTCGATACGCATTTAAAATGTGTTTATTGAATTCAAGCCACGTTAGTACCAGAGAAGTTTTTCCACAAACTTTTGACTTAAACAATGTGCTTAATATTATCATAAACAAAGTTTGTAGGAGACTGACACCGATTGACATCAGGTTTGCACCCTCGACAGTATCGATGGCCGCATCGAATAAACGTGTAAGTGAAAAAGTCAATTTTAGAGGAAAAATTAAAAACTTTTTTTATGTTTCGGAACCTTTATAAAATATACAATGTTTAAAAATTTCAAAGATAAGAAAAATATCTTTTGTTAGAAGATGATGATAATATGAAAAACATTATAAGAAAAGCAGAAATTTGCAAAAAAAATAACATTTTATTTTTTAGTATAGTTGATGTCTTCGTGTTCCTGCACTTTGCACGTTTAAAAAAAAGTACAGAAATCGATGAAGTTGTTTTTCTTTTTTCGTATAATATCTTTTCACATTATATGCACTTAACTGTAATTGAATAAATGTTTAAGAGCGCATTGCAATTCTGAACACGTAAAATATTTGAGTATCAACCTACACACTAGTTTTGCCAGACTTGCAATACCTATTTCACGAGACGTCCCGTATATCTGGGATAAATTCAAATGTCCCGCTGGACCGACTCTGTCCCGTATATCTAATTCGATTTCACAAATGGTGTTAAAGTGGGGGACTTAAAAAGCGAATAATATTGATTTATTTAAATATGTCAAATCATGCGTAAGTGTTATATGAAAAATATAAAATAAAAACTGTAATTAATCAAATTGATAATTCCCTGTAACAAACAATTATGTTACTATAATTGAAAATATTTGAGTAAAAGACACAAATAAAATTGAGGTGATGGATTACATAATCCTTCTGCATACATCGAATTATGTATTAATTTTTGTGTAATAGTTCTTACGCGTTTATTCGATGCGGCCGCGAGTTTAAAATTAAATCTAAGTATCTTCTATGTAATAGAGAAATTCCTATAATACTACAATATTATCATCTATACATATGTAAAAGGAGATGTCCTGACAGACAACGCACAGCCTGAACTACTGGTCGCAGGCACTTGAGACTTGATAGAGAATTTGGAGGGTACATTCGTCTTATTACATGAGGTGTACTAAGAATGGAATTTTGGAAATTCCACCCAAAAGGAGGTCAAAAAGGGTAAAAACGTGTATATAAAACTTCTTTGTTTTTGGACCTATATCGATCAAAATTGAAATTTGGGTAGTTTTATTTTATCCCGAAAACTAGCACTTACGTGAATGAAAATTAGAGTGTTTTTTTATGGGGAATCAAAATGTAACCATAGTAACCATTGTTTTCAATTTGATTTGTCTAATATCTAATGTAATTTGAAAATATTTCCTTATATTGTGATAAATATTGGTATTTAAGTACATAATTGACAACAGATTTTTTTTTAATATTCAAGTACTAACCATTTTTGTAATGTTTTCTAAGTGAACATCAAAGTAATTTTATTATAATTAAGCGCAGCAGCCCGCAAACTTTGTTGTTAAGCAACTTTCGTAAGTAACTAGACCACGCGGACGAAGTCGCGGGCAACAGCTAGTTTAAGTATAATTGTATGAGCTAAACTTGTGCTTTTTTGTGTGTTTTTGTTATCATACCTTGGAACATTATTTTACTACTTACCCTCTTATAAACTGAAAAGATGTTGCTCAACTGAAATTCTAATGATATTAGTGTTTAAAATTGGAAAGTCTGAACCAAGCACTGGTTATGATAATTATAATGCCCTTTGATGTTTATCCTACTGCAAATACATAATTTATTTCAAAGATATTTGATATTTTTATGACTGTTCGGTTTCATCTTTATTTACATGTTTTTATAAACATAAAATACATCTATCCAACACACGTTCCTTAACATTGCAATTAAATTAAGTTTAAATTACTTAGTGGGATACTCAATGTATTTATAGATTATGAACTCTGTAGTGCTAATATGTATTGTATTTATGTTTTTGAACTTATTACAAATTCATCACGATTAGGCATTTTTTCATCCAGAGTAATAAATAATTGAACCAAAAGTAACAATTATCATAGGCAATAAAAAGAAGGTCACAGTTTTGTCTTCCAATGATCTCAACATCATAATACTAACAATGATATTCTGCGGTTACATCTCTACCAGCTAATTACGTACACATTGTATTCTATAAATACGTAGGGTAGCAAATGTACAACATTATTAATTTTAATTGACTTTATGTGACCTCCTTAATTAAGTTACGGTATCACATAATCTTACTATTGCGTATAGAATTGTCTATTGAGCCAGGCATACGCTGCGGCGCTTCGTTATAAGTCTCTAGTAAAACTAAAACAATGACCATTGTTGACATTTCATTGAGTTTTAAATAACATATACAATTAAACAAATTGTAGAGCAATGACTGTTTAAAAACCATAACAATTTTAAAATCGTTCTCATACAAAATTTATCTATCACAAAGGATTTTTATACGCTTTTCATCAATATGCAGAATGATTCAAGTGGTAATTGCTTATCTATACATTAATATCAACAAATTCAAACAGCAAGATATCAATCCTATCTTAAACGTAACATATCTCTTTAGAGGAGTATTTTACCTCGCTACAAAATCCTCAAAAGATGCAACCCTACGCATTAGTACCTCTATGGCCACAGAATGTGCCTCGAGTGTACAAAATAATTTAACAATCTGCCACGCGTTTGTTTAATTTCATTATTGTTTTCTATTTTGCAGAGGCTTATTACAAATATTGCACACAAAACCCCTTCAAGACTACAAAGTTTAGTCTTCTGAACAAAAAATGTGTTTCACTGTATAAATTTGCGTTATGAATTAAATTACATTAATAGGTATAATTAATGGTTAACGAACCCTGGAA